TCAGGACTTCCTTCTCTGTGATGGTAGATAACTGTAGAATTTTCCTTCTAACAGATTATAACAACCTAAATTTTAAAAGAAAACATGTATCAAGATTTAGTCTCCTTTATTAATCCATTATTTTGAATGGGGTGAGGTGTCTGCAATTTCTTATCTGCACTCATCTTTGCTAGATATCTCAACTTCATGGAAGCCATTAAAACAATCAGAACTTGTATTAAGAGTAGACTTTTCCATTTTCATATTTTTAAAACTGTCTCCATATGTTGCTAAGGTTTTGGTTTAATTGTAAGAAAGCTTGTTCCTGATTATCTCAAAATAATGAATTGCTGGAAAGGAAAAGCTTAAGAACCAATAAGGATTCCAGAGTTTCGTAGACATCATCCCCCTATTCCCCACTTGCGTGTGAAGTAATGCCCATCAAAGAAACCAGAACAAACTGTGGTTGGGAAAATATTCCCATCAAGAAGGAAGATTTTCTCAAAAGTCATGTTTTATTTTTTGTTGTTGTTGTTTAAGAATTATATGTACATAATTTTTAAAAATTTAAGTCAAGAATGGATAAAAAATGTGGCATATATACACAATGGAATATTACTCAGCAATAAAAGAGAATAAAATCATGGCACTTGCAGGTAAATGGATGGCATTGGAGAAGATAATGCTAAGTGAAGTTAGCCAATCCCCCCCCAAAAAAAATGCCGAATGTTTTCTCTGATATAAGATGACTGACTCATAGTGGGGTAGGGAGGCGGGGAGCATGGGAGGAATAGACGAACTCTAGATAGGGCAGAGGGGTGGGAGGACAAGGGAGGGGACAGAGGGTTAGCAAGGATGGTGGAATGTGATGGACATCATTATCCAAAGTACATGTATGAAGACATGAATTGGTGTGAACATATTTTATAAATAACCAGAGATATGAAAAATTGTGCTGTATATGTGTAACAAGAATTGTAATGCATCCTGCTGACATTTATTTAAAAAAACAAAAAAATTTAAATCAAGTTAATTTTTTAAAGTCAAGTTTTAAATTTTAAATTTATTTTCACCTATACATAACATATTAAAGTTGTACTTATTTTTTAAGTTTTACTTATTAATAGGTAAATTTAATATGTAACTTGATCTTCTTCAAATGATTTCATCTATTAAAGTCCCAACCATATTCAACAGTCACTGCCACCAATAGGTTTATAATGTTTTTCAAGTTCTTCTGTGACAATTTCTCTCTCTCTCTCTCTCTCTCTCTCTCTCTCTCTCTCTCTCTCTGTGTGTGTGTGTGTGTGTGTGTGTATGAATGTATCTTTATAGTTATTTGCCAAGAAAAGTCAAATGACATAACAGTTCTTCTGCAGACTCTAGAATCTTCAGTTTTTAATGCAAGACTGTGTTTGCAGTAAATCTTTCCTAAAATTTTACAACTAGAAAGTAGGTGAAAGTTAGCAATATAAAAGGAGAGATTCCCACTTTTATTCAAACTTGCAAAGTAACATAGGTGTAAACTATGTGTGAACTTCTTTGAGCTGAAACTTCTGGATCACATAAGAAGGTATGGCTATGTCAACAGGATCATTAATATTTATTGCTGAATAGCTAGCAATTTGGATGATGATGGTAGTTACAGTTCTGAAACACTGACACTACCATAAAGTACATCATTTTTCTAACCAAACTGAAACTTTTGCTCTTGGACCTTAACTTTTACAAGGTGCCATCCATTCCAAAATGCTATACTCTTTACTTTGATTAATGATACATTGTCAGAGTGATGAATTCTTCTAGAGTGTAATTTGAAAGATAATATCATTCTAGGGAAAAAAAAGTTCAGGTAAGAATTTTAGAACAGTTACCAGATGAAATCCTACCATCACACAGTGTAGTGAAGGATGTGGGGAAATCTGGAAATACTTGCAGTAAATCATATTCTTTGGCTCTAGTTTAAGTTTCTATCCTACAGTGAAATACATGATTTACTATATGCCCTGAAACCTGTTTTGGTTTGATTTTAAAACATTTTTTTTAATATGTAGAGCAGTTGCACAGTTAATTTTATACACTTTCAGTCTCCTCCTATTGCTGCCTAGTAGTATTGCTATATTTAAATTTTCACATTTAGAAGATGAGAAGAAAAATGTTTTTGAGTTGAGTTTTAAAATTCAAAAGCATTTTGTTAATATATGGCATTGTGTTATACTTAATATAGTCTTTTATCTATTTTAAATATTGCAATAACATCTTTACATTCTTGTTCATTGGTTACTTATTACTTAAAATGATAGTTATATTATTGAGTGAAAGGTATTGTGTTTTGTGTTGTAAATTTGTATGTGTCCTTTTAATTAGAGACAAAAACTTTGGGGACAGTGTCCCCAATGGCTGACAGTAATTATCCATGGGAATTACCTTTTATAAATTGGGAGCAACATCTATTTCCTACATTTTAATATGGGGGACTATAATTTATTTTTTCGTATCTGGTCAAATATAAAAATGGACAGGTGAAAATAAATTAAAAAGAAGAACCCAAACTGTCTAATTTTTGCATAGGCTATCACATACAGAATAACAGTTTTATGAAGTTTTATTTTTTAAAGTACTGAACAATGTTTAAATCTGTTAGACAAAAAATGTAACATGTCTGGTTTCAGGAAACCAAAGGTAAACTACATTTTTCTGTGTCATGAAGGTTAATGAGAATGCTAAAGAAAAAGATAGGTTAGAAGAAGATTTATTCTAATTTAAGCCACAAGATTCTGCAGCCATTTGACATTGACCTAGGTCTTCTGAACTTCCCAGTCCTTGTGTATTTAATAGGGATCATAAATGTCAGCCCCCTCTCCTTGTATGAATATTTTTAAATTAAGAGAAAAAAGTATGCATACACAGTCTTCAAAGGAGAAAATTACATTTAAATGTATATGATGTTCTAGGAAAGAATATTCCCATTAACTGGATTTTAATTTTTTTAGTTATTTGCTAAATTATAAGACTTTCAGATATTCAGATATAAAATTAAATTTTACCGATTACCCATATGTTTATCCTCTTTTCAGCAAGAGAACTGACTTAAAAGCTTTTGCTATTTCTGAGTTTTTTAACATGTTACCTAAAAATTATTAGAGTATTAAGAGCAGGATTCTAAGACAGGACCAATCTTTTGGTTTGTGTTATTTAAAAATATATATTTGATAATTTTATCTTAGTAATTTTATGTAACATTAATACTATTGCTTTTTGTTTTATAAATAATGAAAATTAGACATCTTAAATATTTTCGAAATCGACAGATCTTTATTTTAGGCAATTTAAAATTAGGCTTATATGGATTACTGTGTTTTAAAATATTGGTTAATATGTAGATATTTCTGGAAGCCTGGAGCATTAGCACTGGATTGAAATTCTGTTAAAAATGAGGACTATATAGATCTATATATTTTTTTTGATAATCACTGGAACATTTTTGAGCAAATACCACATTACTGAGACCAGTATATGTGAATAGGTCAAATTTGTCAGATTTTCATAGATAATTCATTAATTCAGTGTGAAATAACACCAGTTAATTTGATGTTCACCAAATTTATTCCAGAATTAGATGGCATGAATCCTAATAGAGTTACAGAAGGTTATAACTGGATAGTTTCAGTATAATTGTAGCTATTTAAATTGATAATTAGATGAAAATTTTAAGAGTATTTCTATGGGAGAGTACAAAATAATTATTTCTGATCCCTGATGAATTTTTCCCCTGCCTTGCAGACATTTGCTAAGAAGTAAGATGTATTTCTTGTCTTCCTAATGCCAGGTTCTCTTAGAGACTCGGAACAGCCTCAATCTTCCCTTGGGAATTTAGTTTGAGATCAGAAGGGGTCTGGAGGTCTACAGAGTCCTCGAGCAGACTAGCATAATTGCCGAGAGGAGACCTTTCAGAGAAAAAGACCTTCCCAAGAATTTCCTTTTCCTGGTCAGCCTCTCTGGAAGCATGCCCAAAGTTTTTTTTTTTTTTTTTTTTTTTTTTAAATTTATTTTCTCAATTATTTGTTTTTAATTCTATAGCTTTTCTCCCTCTGTCCACACTATACTTTTTCCTATTTTGTGATACCCATAGAAAGTTTTAAAAACATATGAACTTATATGGTGTGACATACCAAAAGATGATGGAAAGGCACATCATGAGGGTTGGTACAGAGCTGTTCAGGGATTTAAAGCTATAATGAGGGTGGAAACCTATAACTGGGGAGGAGGAACATTCAGGGAAGGGTTCCTAGACCTGTGGGAGTAACTTGAAATGATTCCAGAAGGAGAAGTAGGAGTCTTCCAGGCAAAGATGAGGAGAGAGGAGAGAAAGCTTTCCTGTAAGTGAACCTCATGAGCAGAGGCACGAAATGAGGAACAATTTGGAGTTAACTAGGAAACTGCAGATAGAGGCACTTCCTGATGTGCACTTTTGAATAGTGTATAATTTCTAAAGATATTTTATCACCAAGGAAGACTCATTACTGCTTATTCAGGCTCCTACTAGATAAGATATATTTAGTTCTCTAGCTGCGATATGCACAAAATAACACACCTTATCTATTTGGGATTGGCATAGTGGAAAGGCTATGAGTCATTAGAATTATACACACCTGGGGTCATTTCCCAGCTCTGCCACCCACTCACCATGTGACCAAGGGCTGGTTATTAAAACTCTCTGAGCTCTAGTTTCTTTGTCCCTAAAATAGATAAAAATAGTTATGGTGTAGAGTTGCCTCAAGGATTAAATAATATAGTTTTAAAAATGCTTAGAATAGGATAAGTCCACATCCGCACCCTCAGTATATGGCAGCTGTCACTATTATAATGATTGCTAAAAATGTCAGTTTGTCTTTTAAAATATTAATTAAAACTTACTGGGTATTATGAATAATAATGCAGAAATTTTGATTTAGTGTTAAAAAGTTACTTATGCTGACATATTAGTCTCTTTAAGTCATATTTTGTTCCTTTTTAAATAGGCAAAATCTCAGATATTATCCAGTGTGTTGGATGTTGCTCATCGATTTATAAAGGAAGTTAATCCAGATGAACCCAAAGTGGGAAATAATTCTATAAAAGACACGAGTAAAAGTCATCAGAAATCCAAGTCTCTAGTCCTGCAGGGGAGCAACTCTGAGGTAAGCCAAAGAAAAGATAATGGGACATTTTTGTCCCACATAACCATGGAGACTGCCACTCATATATTAACTAGAGTTGTGGAGTTTTGGAGATTATATCACATTGTTATTTAATATGGTTTTGCTTTTAATTAATTAAATGTATCTTGCCTATAAAAACATTCTCAAGGATATTTCTTGGATTCATTTTGGAAATCGATCCAAACATTTCTACCATATTAGGAATTGAATGTGTATTTGGAGAAAACAAAAACCACAATGCAGTATAACAATTTTATATTAGTCAGGATTTCAGAGAGGCTAACAACATAAAACCTTGCCAAGCACTTTAGGTGTCAGGCAATTTTAGTTATCGAAAACTAGATTTATGCCAATTCTCACAGTTACTCAGAAAGACTATGGATCCTATGATATACTAGGCAAGTTTTTATCAACTCCTGTCTACATTTTTATAATAGATTTTATTGACTCTTTAGCAAGAAACACACTTCAAATTTTGATCTGTGTTATATAAGACTCCTTCTTTTAGATGTCACTCACTCCTTTCCTATAGTGCAGAAACTGTAACTTGGCCAGTCGCACAGTTTGTGATTTGGTAACCAGGTCTGTGTTGAACTTAAGTCTGTGAAATTTCAAATGCATGTTCATAGAATATAAGAGGAAATGCACTCTGTGCTGGTAGGACCATTTCTATCAGGGGAACTATTCTTGAATTTTCCGAGAAAATTGGGTGTTTCCATAGATTTTGCTTTCTGATAGAACTGCCAAGGATATTTGTTAGAGAATCACTGAATGAGTTACAACCTAATAATAATATTGTATTGTAGACTAGATGCTGCCCTAAATACCTTATATATATCATATATTTTTGCCTTTTTGTAATTATTCCCTTTTTCAAATAGAAAGATAGTGGCAAAGAAGAAGTTTTATAACTTGCCCCAGGTATCACTGATAAGGGGAACTCAGGTTTCAGCTCAGAGCTTCTGACTCCAAGTTACCTGTTTTCAATCACTCCATAGAGGCTATAGTTTAAAGAGTTTCTCCTTTGTTCTTGCCATTTTATTTAATTTTTCCTATCAAGAACAATAGTGACAGTTAAGTCAGCAGCTAACATTTTTTGATCATTTTGTGTTAGGCATGTTACTTAATGCTTTACCTGCCTTATCTTCTGTAATCATCAGAATCGCCGTATCTCTTCTGTGATAATATTACCTCTGTTCATCAGAGGATAAATTTTAGAGACAGGTTAAGTAACTAGGTCTATAAGAAAGCTGGGGAGTGGACTCCTTTGTGTTCATAATCATTATGGTAAATGTTGCTTCATGTTTCCATAGGTAATTATATATGCCATACAGACTCACTGCCTCTTGTCTTAGCTTATTAACCATCAATTCAGTGTTTTCCCACACACCCCCAGGGGTGTATAATAAAATCAACTGGAAAAACATTAAAGAAATACACATGGCTGAGTTCAGCATTTTGTGGGTAGAGTCCTATGTGTTGTCCTAGTAGCTCCTCAGTTATCTGGTGAGCATGATTCATTGGAAGCTGCTGCTAAAGACATTCAGGTGTGCACCTGTGTACAACACTTACACTGAAAGATAACCCTCTCTGAGGCTTAACATTTCTTTTTGCTGAAGAGCAGTGTTCTCAAATTGTAGTAAGCATCAGGAGCATTGCATGAGTTTGTTAAAAAAAAATGTGCATTTTTTTTGATCTGTTGCCCCAGTTTTTATTAATTCATTACTTATGGGTTAGGGATCAGTAATCTGATTTTTAATTAGCACTCCTAAGCAATTCTAATGGCTGGAAGAATCAAACTGTTGCCAAGGTCTGCTGTTTCATAGCTTTCTAAATGGATTCAAGTCAATGGTGTATATTTGGAAAGGGATGACCTCATGAAATACATTTTAGAGGCTGAAATCTGAGTTCAAGATACTGATGCTAGTTTTCTTTTAGATTTTAAATATTGGGCAATTTATTTAGCTTATTTTGATCCTTTGTTTTCTCTTCTGAAATGTGGGAATATTAAAATATATTACAGAAATACCTTGCTGAAATGAATGTATAGCATTGGATATCCATTTGTTTCTTCAAATTTCCTAGCCTTTTAGAATTGGGCAGGGTCTCAGTGGAAGTGATGTAGGACAGTTCTAAGCTGAAGCATTGAAGAGCCAATGTACAAAGCTCCTGCTATGTGGAAGACAGGTATTCCAGTGACATAGCTCAGAGATGCAATTAATTTATTGATTCATTGTCTTACATTTCTGATATCTTACATATCTTATTCATTGCTTGGGAGGGAGTTGTTCTGGAGAGCCACAAGAATCACTACATACTCAAACCATTTCATATCAAGCCACTGGGTCTTGAGGGCCTCTTTATTAGAGCAGCAGACTAATAGATTGTTTATTGGGTACCTATAAGCACCTTCCCACAGATTCCTGAAACTCAGTATCTCCAGACTAAACTCATACCCTTTATTGGCAAATCTATAGATGTTACTAATTGATGGTACCATATCTAGATTTCTAAGGTAAAAAAGAAATGATATTCAGCAGTCCTTTCTCTTTTTACTTATATATCCAATCAGTTACTATTGTAGTCTATTCAGGATGATATAAAAATATCGCAGGCTGAATGACTTATGCAACAAATTTGTTTTCTTACAGTTCTGGTAGTCCTGGTAAGGACTTTCTTCCTGGCTTGCAGATGTCTGCCCTCTAAAAACTATTTGTTGCCATTACAGATACTGAAATTAGCTTTTTCTAAAAGAACAAAAGTTTTACAAACGTGTTTTTATTCATTTAACAGTATAGCTTTGTATGCATATAAATATTTCTATTGCTTTCTTATTTTATATAGTAGCCATAAAATGCTTCATTTATTGGATGTGAAATGACATTCTAAAATCCATCTTCCACTGATCAACATTTATTGTATTTCATTTTTTTCCCAGTACAACCTAAAATATAAAATACAATTTCGAAAATTTTTTTTTTGCTTGTATGCATATTTCAATATGATAAAGTCCTTATATTCCTTGGTAAAGAGGTTTCTGCAGTTATAATGTTCATTGATATGACCACATGGCTGTAACATTTTAAATGGTTTCCCTGCATCCAAACTCACTATTCCCCAGTTCTCTTTCCTACACTACTGTGTGGAGCTTTTCTATGATTTTACATGTGTAACACATTTAAGTCCAAGTTTGTACTGTAGGAAGGATTTTCATGATCTGCTCCTGCTCATTTCTACCCTTGATATTTTTTCTCATCCTCCATTTTTGCCATATCAACACAAACTACTTCCAGTTCTATGCCACAATGCTGTTTGAATCCATTTCTTTGCATATATACCTTTTCCTCTTTCTGAAATACTGCCCTTGAGTCTTTGATAACGTAATTCTTATTTTATTTTTGGAAACCCAGTTCAGAAGTCACTTCCTCTAATTTATTCTTTACCCTTGCACCTATTTCTATTGTGGACTTATTAACTTGTGTTTTTGTGGTATAGTGTCTAGTGTCTGATGGATTCTCAGATGATTTTTGCTTATATTTAAAAGTTTTTGTGAACATCTTTAATAATATACTTTCAGTTGTACTCCAATAGTTTGCATGCTTGTTTTTCAATTAAGGGTTGAAAATAGAGATTTCCACTTTTGTGTATAAAAGATGAACAATAGAGATTTAACAATTTGATTAGCATGGGCAATCTGTGTTTGGTAATTCAGCTGTTTTGTGGATTTTATTTTGCTTAAATTTCCTAATTTGGCTATTTTTTTTTCAGCTCACTAGATAACTGCGAAATTCTACTTTCATTTCTTCTGTGTTCAGAGTAGATCTGTGTTTTATACTGAATTAATCTCCCTACCATCATTAAGCTGAGAAGCACACAGTGTTTCATATACGGTGATGAACTTATTTATTCATTTCATTAACTTTTAATGAGCACCTATTTATTTCCAGGTACCATACCCTTGACACCGAGAAGACAAAATCCTCAGTCTGATTATATTCTAATGAAGAGAGATAAGCACTAAACATGTAGAATGAATTCACACACAGATAAGTTGTGAGGAGAAAATTAAAACAGTTAAGCATTATGAAGTGAGGGGGGAAGATAGTCATTATTTGGGAATCATCAGGGAAGAACTCTCTGAGGGTGATATTTGAGCAAACTGAAAGGAAGTGAGGGGAAAGCCTGTGTGGAGATGTGGAGGAGTCTCATTCCTACTTTCCCAGGACTGCAAGAAGAGGTTAGCTGGAGCAGTATGAAAGAAGAACACGAGGAGGTGAAATGCAAAGCAGGGAAGTCCAAGGTCATGTAGGGCCTTATGCATAGAAAGTCAACAGAAGGGTTTGAGCCCAGGAGTGATGTGATCCAATTTACACCCAAGCAAACAAATTTGCAAACAAGCCTGCTCTTTTTGATGTGGGAAGGTTGCAGGGAGCAGGAGATTGGAGAAGTCACACAAGGCTGTTGCAGATTGGGAGGGAGGGCAATGGCAAATGGGGCATAATAATGACAAGTCATAGAGTCTGCAGGTTTTTGTTTCAATAATTTCAGAAGAGAACTTTTATAATTGCTAACAGAGCTTAAAAATAGCAATAAGACTTATAAATAAGCATGACTTAAAACCATTTTGTCCCCAGTTGAAACGTCTTATTGAGTAATAATTAGTATTACCTGTCTTTTAAGATTAAGGAAATTTAATAAAGCAACCTTGGATTCATTTTTAATTGGTTTAGGTAGAAATTACAACAAAAAGAGCTGAGTGCACAAATCCGAGAGATAGGCTCTTGTGTGAAGGGTCATTCGATGAAGAAGCTTCTGCCCAGTCCTTTCAGGAAGTGTTAAGTCAATGGAGAACTGGAGATCCTGATGATAAGACGAGACAGAACTTAAATGCAGCAAAACCAGGTACGGCTATTATTATGACATGCATATTCAAAAATAAAGATGACTTCATCTCCATTCTTTGTGAATAAAAAAGCAATGTTTAAAATCTATAAACAAAGGAGTTTGCTATAATTCTTCAAGGGAATATGCATTGTATGATCATTGGTGAGTGCTTAGCTATTTATAGACTCTGAATTGGGCACTGGAGGTGATTTGCATGTGTTTTCTGTGTAAACTCAGACTGTCAAATGAATGGAGTATTGGATTCTTTCAGCTTTTTATTTCCTAGCAGGATATTGTTTTTAGGACAACTATTCCATTTTTCAACTACAATTGCTACATGTAAAATGGAAGAATCTGTAAAATAGAGAAGAATTTTTATATGTATATCAAAAAATATGAGTACTAGATCGATTGTAAACTTAGGGGGAAAAGTTTGATTTTTTTTTCTTTTTGAAGAACTATATTGTTTTTATGTTTTCTTAATGGTCTCCAATTCCACATCCTAGACATTAAAGATTTATATGAATGAAGCATATAGTAGCTCTGCTTTGAGTTTTTCAATGTCACTTAATAAAAATCATATGCTTAAATATTCAATTGATTAATTTATTACTCAGAATTTTGCGGTATCTGATAGCTGAATTTTTCATTGAATGTAAAATGTTAGGCAATAAATTTCACTCCTATATCTTTCTTGATAGAGACATTCAGTTTACTATTTGTATTTCATTCTTTTCCTGATTATTCCCCTTTATTCTGTAATGTAAATTCCTAATTCCCAAGCATCACACACCATTTTCTCACTCATGATTGGAGTTTTCACTAATGCTCTCCCCTTCAAACATTTTTTTTCTACATTTCCTCAATTTAATTACTATTTTAAGACATCATTTGTATGCTTTCTTCTTAGTAGTATGTACCTTGATTCTCTTGAGCATGTTAATTTTGTGCTTTATTTTTGTAAATAGAAATACCTTTTTATTTATTGAAAGATATAGTGTTTAAAATAACACCAGGATGGAGTTGAAAAATTCCCAGATCAGAAGCAAAACCATGTACAAATGTTTATTTTCATAATGGAAATAACTGCATGATTAAAATAATACAATAATTAATTTCAAAAATTTGATTATAACAAAAATTTACCAAAACTAAATGAAATTAGCTCAATCCTCCTCTACCCACAGAGAATCAAAAATAACTTTGGGCACATAATTTTTTAATAGACACAGTTGTGCACACATACACATGCACACACTCAGGAGAAAAAATATGGGTTAACTATATATATTATTAGTTAGCTTGTCATGAAGTTATATCACAATTAGTGATTATGTCATGGGTAACTTCATAGAGATACTCATCATCATTCATAACTATTGCATAATACTTTATATGTCATGATTTATCCAGATCTTTGCTGATAAATATTTTGTTTCTCTCAGTATTATAAAAGAAGTTATGATGGCCATCTTAGCTATTTGTGCACTTACAAAATTACTTAAAATAAATTTGTAAATGTAGAAATGTCATTTCAGTGGCGACCTGTTTTATTAAATTTTAACAATTCTTGTCATATTATCCTCTAAAAGATTACTGTTAAGTTATAGTCTCACTGAGAGTATATGGGTATCTCTTTCTCTGTATTTTTGAATTCTTTAACTTTATTCAGTTTGATAGACAATAGGTGATCATTTCCCTGGCTCCCATCATCATTTGTGAAATAATTATTAGTCATTTTTTGTCAATAACTATTTTTTTATTCTTTGTTTTTTAAATTACTTTTGAGTATTCTTTGTGTTTTTTATTGCCTTTGAGTATTCTTTGTTTTTATTATTTTGAGTACAGTAATGTTTTAAATTTTAGGGCAAATATTGAGTACATACCATGTACTTGGGGAAAAGTAGTATCCACAGTCAGTCTCTTCCTATTCTGGAACATATGGCATACAGGGAAGTCAAAGAATCCATCAAATGATCAGCATAACTTGGAAGGAGAAGTGCTCTGCCATTGCCTTCACTGAGTGAAAGAAGCACAACTTCTGTAAATGATAAAAAGTATGATTTTATCAGGTTGGATTTATCAAATATAGATGTGCTTAAACAGGATTTGGGTTTAATATATTGGCACTTAAGGAGTAGCATTGATAATCTACCAGTTTGGTCAGTTGAAGTCTGGACTTGATTTTACAATAGAGATTTGGGTAGGGGAAGGGAGATGGAATTGGCTCTGGGAGATGGAATGTTGCAGTTGATAATGTGCAACCTACTCAGGTGTCCCTTAACTAAACCTAATGAAAATGAGGGGACCATCTTTCAATTAAGAGGTCAGTAAGCACCATGATCCCCTAGGAAAGTCTGCTGTGGCTTGCCTCCGCAGGCTGAAGATGAGTGGGGAGGGATATGCTTCTATGGAATTGTGTTGCCTGGTTGCAAAGACATAATGGAAACATGGAAAATGGTAGAGACCATGTGTTGTCATATAGTTATGGAAATTCTGCTGGAAAATTATCAAAACATTGGGCAGCAAACAGTAATTATTAGAATATTTCAATTCAAAGAGATTTCAGTTGCCAATTGGGGCATGTTAAAATGGAAAAGTCATATAGCCTACAGTTTTACCTGTAAAGAAGAAAATTTCTTTCTGATATGCAGAGATCTAACTTGGGTCACCATATTAGTTCAATTTTATGATGCCACCAGACCTAAACCAGTCCACAGATCTGGAACCCCTTAACTGAGGAAGAAGCTGGGTCCCTAAGGTAGCCTGAAATGTAGCCATAATGTATGCTCTGTATCTTACTCTAAGATCCCACTAGTTGAACTTATGGCTTCTTACCCAGGATTAGTGTGCAGTAAAGAAAGGTAATGCACAGAAAATCAAAGGGATCATTTTGAATTGACAGTTTCTCCTGAGGACCTAAGTGCTACCATAGTCTACCTGTTGGTGTTGAAGACTTAAGAAGATGAGGTGGTAGAGGAGTTTTATCCTGATTCTGTCTCATAGAGGATATGTTAGGAGTGTGAACCTATTATATAGCTATTTTTCTGGAACTAAATATATATTGTGGGTGGATAGTAATGGAAAGAATCCCTACATTGACCTGTGGCTTGAAGATTGTTATAGTAGTATATAAGTAGAAAAATCCTAGAATCTCTTCCCCACCCCAATATTCCATACTACATTCCTGAAGCAATACTAGGTTTCTGGGAATTGCAGAGTTTAATGTCATCATCAAATATTTGGAAGATGCATAAATTCTGCTTTATAGCAATTTTTCACATGTAATTTACTTACTTGGTGCAAAAGCCAATGGTTTGGGTAAATGCCAACTTGGTCAGATGATGAGAATACCAATCACAATTGCTTTTTGGATTCTGTGCCTTTACTGGAGAAAAACAGCATATTCTCTGACAGGGGAACAGCCACTGAACTTCCTCAGAGCATAAACTCTTCCTGTGAGCAGGGCAGTCAGTTACTTAGCTACTCAACCTTGCCATTGAGTAGCTAAGTAATGCATGAATGAACAAGTGTGGCTGTGTTCCAGTCAAACTCTATTTATGAACACAGACATTTTGCTACAAGAAAACAGTAGGGTCTCGTTTGCTGATTCCTGACCTAGTAAATGTATTGTTTTCTATTTATAACTAAATAGATAATCAGAAATAAAATTTTTTTCCCATGTGGCAGAGGTAACAGTACGTCCTTTGAATCTCACTCCCACCCATATAACTCTCCTGCTTTCTAGCATTATGTAGTCTGAAAAGTCCTTGATAGTGCACACAGATGATGCTTGCATGTTGGATTGGTGGCATGGTGCTAAGAGGAGCTATTGAGTAGGAAGTGTCTGTTATAGGATGATCAGTCATGACAGGTCAGTGATTTGTCCTCATGTGAAAACTGCATATTTTAGATATGGATTTGCTTTCTCTGATTACAATGTGTCTATCAACAGGAGGCTTCTTTATCACCATGGTATCCCCATACAACATTGCCTCAGACCATGGGACTCATTCTATTATAAGAGTTCTAGTTAATACCCATGAACTTGCCAGTGTCACATTATTCAGAATCAGCTGGCTTGATAGTTTCATGGAATGGCCTATTGAAGTTTCATTATAGTTCTGGCTGGGAGACCATATCTCATGAGGTCGGGTAGGTTTTCCTATAGGGGGTGTATATTCCATAAATCTCATCATGCTTCTATTAAATCAGAAGCTGAGACTACTCCTGGTCTTTGGGCCTAATCATCACTGAATTAAAAATCACTATACTGGTCACTAACAGGGTCACTATATAGGGCTTGTCTGTTGAGCACAATTACCAAAGAAACCACTGTGCTGCTGCTACACAACCAAGAGAAAATGGACTGTACCTGGAACCCAGGAGTTCGCTGTGGCATGGATTAGGGTTCTATGTACAATAAGAAGGTTCAATGGGAAACTGGAAACCCAGTGAAGAGAGGGCTTATATGGCCTTGTGTCCTTTGAGAATAAATACTTGGGTTATTATACCAAGCTTTAAATAGTAAGATGAACTTGGAAAAGGTGATGGAGGAAGAAAGCTATTATAATTAAATCAATTTGGTCTTCAAAATCACCTACAAAAATGGAGACCATAGCAGCTCAGTATTGTGTTGAATAATTGTCTTTTTCATCACCCCTTTTCTTGCTACTTATATAAAGTATATTAGTGGTGCCAAACATAATGTAGGATTTAGTTAGGAGCATTAACTAAATTGAGATCTCCTTATGATGCCCAATAGTTATAGAACTTGTTTTCTCTAGGTTTCAATGGATATTTTTCTTTTAAAAAAATTGTGGAGAGACAAATGTATGCTTAAATGGAAAAGATATAGACTATATGGCCATTCTGAAAAATTCCCTCAAAATCCATTCTTGGCCTTTCCTGCTTTACTCTGTGCTCCAGAAGGTGGCCTTGCTCTCTGGCTTCCAGTTGGGTTTGGCCAATTGGAGACATTAAGAGGATATTGGAGGGTGGGAACAGAGAAGGGGAAGTATTGGTTCACCCTCTTGTGGGTGTGCTGTGGCTTTATAGCGGTTACATCCTGTCCTTAAAAACACTTCTCAGATGGTCTTTTACAGTCATTGCTTTCAGTGTTTGTTTGTTTCCTAATGGTTCTCTTTTTCTTTCTCTTCAAACCTAGAGTCGATACCAGCTCTCCACTATTTTTAGCAAATGAGTTTCAATATCACTTATCCCCTTAACTTTACCACTTAATTGTAAGTTGGTCCCTTCATTTGATCCTCTAAATGACCCTTTTAAGTATTCTTTTTCTAGCCATGCTCCAGTCCTGGTACAAATGGATATAAAAATACTTTCTAAGAGACCAAAAAATTGAGTTATGACCTAGAAAATGGGCTGAAAAAATGGGGATAGAAAATAGGTTGGACAAGGGAATGTGATGGAGTATGTGGTGCTCATGGAGCTGAAGGAAAGTGTGCACAGCTGACCTTAGAGAGGAAGGGAGAGTATTGTAGCACAAGACTCAGGAATTGCAACAGGGGCCTGGGAGAGAAAGACAAACCCTCGAAGAAGAAGAAGCATGGTGCACATGTAGGAGGAAGACTGGTATGTGTTAGAAAAACCAGTGAAGGATATGCCTTCTCTAAGGAAATGAGATCAGCAGTATGATTTCTGTGGAGAAATCAAGATGAGGGCTTGTTTTGACACAATATTTTTTTGTATTATTTTTTATCTGTTTTAATTAGTTACACATTACAGTACAATGACCTTGACATATCTGAATCAGATGGGATATAATTTCTCATTTTTCTGAGAGTACAGGTTGTAGAATCATATTGGTCAATATATTTTTTGGGGGCCCCAGATTATTATGTATATGTGATTGATGATAAGAGTGTATGTGTTGTGTGTATATGTAGATAGATGTTTTTCTTCTCATGATAGGTTTTATATATCAAATAGATAAAAAAGAGCCTACATAAAATTTATAGTTGATGAACAAAAAATTGTAACTTCCTGTGAATCTTCTACTAGGTTAAAAAAACATGATCATTCCCCTGGACTACCCTTTTCTTTCCCCTCCTCTTCCTTCTTTTCTAATGTCATCACTAACATGAGTTTTGTGATTTCTGATTGCTTTCACTCCCCAGAAGTTAATTACAAATATGTTAATCTTGCCTATCTTTGAACATTAGGTAAAAGGAATTATGGTGTAAGTGTTCTTTTGATTTTCTTATTTCACTCAATCTTGTGCTACTGAGATTATCTACCATGACGATGTGCATAGTTGTATTTCTTTCATTTTCACTGCTTTAGTGTGTACCATGACATGAATATACAGTGCTGTTTCCTGTTTGAATGTTGATGATTATTTGGGACTTTTCCTGTTTTTTTCCAGGACAAATGGTGCTGTTATGAATTTTCTTGCACAGTTCTTCTCTTCACAGACATCTAGGGATGTCCATCCCTGGGAGGAAAATAATGGGGCCATCACTGTGCATGCCCGCCACTTTGCTACAGCTAAAGCTGAATTATTTTGCAAAGTATTGTGCTCCCACCTGAAATGTTTTGATCACTTTCCATTATCAACAACATGGGAAGTTGCTGGGTTAAAACATTTTTGCCAATCTGATAGAGACAATATTGTATGCTTCATTTGTGTAGCTCTCACTATAGATGACACTGTGCATCTTTTTATGTGTTCCTTCGCTATTCAACTTAGTAGTGAGCTTTAAATATCCAAGTTTTTGTGTTATTGATTTCTAGCTCGATTTCATTTCAAAAGCTTATTCCCTCCCTTTCTTTCTTTTTTCACTCCCCACCTCTCTGTCTTGCTTTCTTTTTCTTTCGGCTCTCAGGCCAAAAATCCTTTTGCTTTACCATGGAAACGGGGCCTCACAGTGAGGCATCTCCTTTCCCCTGACTGTCTCATATTCTTCTTAACTCTTGCTCTTTAAGTTTGATGGATTCTGATTGGTGTTTTTCAGAACTTCCTTCATGGGTTTCTTTAACACTGCTGTACTCCTTGGGAAAAAAAAAAGTAGAATTTGGGTAGCTTACATTCTTTTGGTCTATTTCTATTGCTGGCATTTGGCTATTTCTGGAAACTAATCATTATAATCTATAGTATGAGATTGGGACTACCTTCTAGTTTTAGAAGAAATATATTTAGAAATATATTTTCTTCCATCTTACTATTTCCCTTTCTTCTCTTCCTACGTTTTACCCCATATAACATTCAAGCCTGGAGAGAGGCAATCTCTAGGAGGATGGAGAGACCAGTAATCTTGGACTTCTACACCATTTTCATCCCCAGAAAACTTCTTCAGTTTTCAAAAGCTCTGAATAGTAATTTTTGGTTTAGTACTACTTCAGAAATAAGTTAAGCATCTGAAAGTAAATTACTGTGTAGAATAAATTCACGAGGATGGTTGTCTCCTCCAGATGTCGTTGTGAATTATTTATTTCCTATTTCTCATAATGTGTAAATATTATTGACAGTGACTATAATACATTTAGTGTGTGTAGAATGTACAATGTATCTGTGTTTATCTGCCTCATTTTAAAGAGTTAGTTTCTTTTAAAAGTCTTGTGATCAAGATTCTTTCATTTTAAGGGATTATTGAAGAAAATGGTCTGTACAGTCATTTTTTAAATCAACAATGTTTAGCACTTTCACACCATATGCCTTAAACTATTGACTATGTAGATAAATATCAAAGCAGATTAGACTAAAAATGATGAATTTGCATCCTAAGAGAGGGAAAGATATAGTGATTTATAAATTTGGTTGCATTAATTATGCACATTGCTTTTATTTTTGTAGATTCATTGGAAGAATGTGAAGTACAAACTACTCTAAAAATTTGGAGAGAACCACTTAATATTGAATTTAAAGAAGATAGTCTATCCTATATGGAAAAATTATGGCTCAAAAAGCACAGGAGGTATTTTCTAAATTTTTAATATTGCTATTAAGATATACAAAGGTTATTTATGTTTCTTGCTTGTTACATGTCTTTCTGTAGCAATTTTATATGTATGTTTTATATTTGCATAAATAATTTTAAAATAATATTAGATCACAATGAAGTTTCTACTGTTCCAATAAAAATTCTAATTATATGTATGTATATAATGAATTTTTTATTTAGAATTTGCCTTGAGAAATGGAAATGCATATTTGTGAAAAAGGCACAAATACAGCATAGAGTTTAAGAATAATAGCAATAATAATAAGTAGTGCAGTAAGTATAAGATTACTTTGAAAAGATGTTGCTGTTAGGTTTTTTTTTTAACATTAGCATAAATATCTGAAGCTCTTTTCAGAATACGCTATTAAGTTATTTGGACTTTAATTCTATAATTTTATTAATATTAACCAAAGGCATTTAATTCAAAGACTATTTTCAAATACACCATTTCATAAATTGTCTAAAAGTTAAACTATTAAAATGTTAAACCAAAATGATGAATGAGTGCATGTTATAGTCACTTGTAATTTTGCCATCATATAAAGATCGTCAGATTTTGGAGGTTCATTTAAAGGTTGTAAGGTCATTTTCCCTAGAACAGAGCTATTCACACTTCATTGTTCATACCAATTGCCCAGACACGGTGAGAAAATAGAAATTCTTCTTTAGTAGGTCTGAAGGTGGGGCCTGAGATTCTGCACTTCTGAATTTCTGCTTGCTCCCAAATGATGCTGATTTGGATGACGTGGGTATCTAGGCCACATTTTGAGGAGCAAGGTGATGGAGGAGCTCTCTAGAATGCAGCAGAGGTGTGCTGATCAACTCCATGCTTCACCTTCAAACACAGTTGCCTGTATTTGGAATATTCTGCCTGTTATATTTCCTAGTGAGTCATAATCTGTCTCCAACTAGTTTTGTTACCTTTCTTTCTTTCTTTCTTTCTTTCTTTCTTTCTTTCTTTCTTTCTTTCTTTCTCTCTCTCTCTCTCTCTCTCTCTCTCTCTCTCTCTCTCTCTCTCTCTTTCTATACTGGGAACTGAATTTAGGGACACTCAACCACTGAGTCACATACCTCAGCCCTATTTTGTATTTTTGCAGACTTAAATTAGTCTTCCATTAATAGAGTGATATTTGTAACACACTTACCCTTTAATTCTTTCTAATGTTGCAGATGTTTCCTCTTTTAATTTTGAATTAAGACATACAGATGAAGTATATAGTACATCTTAGCTATCTTTCATTTAACTTCCTTAATGGTAACACATCTTACATAACCATGTGAATTTATCAAAACGAATAAATAAACATTGGTGCAATATAATTGAGTACAGTATAGATTTTATTTGTTTTTTATTCTTATCTTCACTGATCCTGCTCTCGTATCCAATCACAGTGCTTACATTTTACTTTCTGTCATATCCTCTTATGCATATCCTCTCTAGAATGCAGCAGAGGTGTGCTGATCAACTCCATGCTTCCCCGTCTTTCCCAGTGTTCCCTGTCTTTTGTGACCTTGATTCATTTGAAGAGTACTTGCCATTTGTTTCACAGAATGTTCTCCATAGGAGTTCTAGTCATGGTACTTGTTTTGTAGATTTATATCTAATACAGTTATTATTTATTTTGTGACTCCAATTATTTCTACTTTGGACATTAAGGGTTCTCTCAAGTCTATTCCTCTATCCTTTAGACATGACCTCATTCTTTCTTGTTTGTTCTTGGTTAATTTGATTTGAGTATCTCTTTCTTTTTCTGGCACTTGATTTTCCTGTCATAGCCCAGGAGCCACTTATCCAAAGAACTGTCATTCCTTTTATTGGAGAATGGGTTCAGAAACCAAGACCTGGACTCTGGGCTCATTACTGCTCAGGTGTCACAAATTCTAGATCTTCTCTGAGAAAGGCCTTTCCAAGCTAGGACACACTAATAAAGTACACACACACATCTAAATTAATCTCTGTACCTGTCTATTTGGATATCTATTAAACTAGACTGACTTCACACCCTTCTACCACTGACTTCAAATCAGCATTGCATAGTTCATTTATCATTTTTCCTTCACTTACTTGAAATTCCTTTTACCTATAATGAGAAACCTGGCTTTAATTATGTGTAATGTAAATTAATTTATTACTCAAAATTGTTGATATCACTGTGAGAAACAAATTTACTGAATGCAGTCTTGTGAAGAATGCTTTTCATCTCTAGCCTGCATTGTCCATTAGGATGCTGTTTCCCAGCAGTACTTAAAGTCATTTCTTTCCTACCACCTTTTGGGTGTTTATGCCTTTCCTTGGGTCTGCCAATATTCTGATTGACTTTTAAAATTTGGATACATTAAATTTAGAGTGTATAGTACTATTTTTTTTAAAATCAATGCATAGAGTCAGGTGCCTACTAAAACAATGAACTGAGCAAGACCATCGTCTCCCAAATTACAATATGCTCTTCCTTTGAGTCAAAGTTCCTTCATCTTCAATCTTTGCCAATCATTGGTCTGTTTTCCATTCTTACAAATTTATATTTTTCCAAAGGTCATATAAATGAAATCATATACTATGTCACCTTTGTGAACCTCATTTAGTAAAATGCATTTAAAATTCATTTATGTTCTTGTATAAATCAATGTTCGTTCCTTTCCACTGTGGAGTAGTTGTACATCATTGTGATTTAGCAGAATTTATCTATTCATGTGTTAAAGAACACTTGCTGGCTTCCAGTTTGGGGTAATTATGACTAGATTTTTCAATAAATATGTATACACATTTTTGTGGGTATATATTTTTAATTCCTTGGATAAACACCTGAGACTGGGATGACTGGATTCTATGTTAAGTACCTGTTTATCTTTGTGAGAAACTAGTAAACTTTTCTAATGTGAATGGTAATTCACATTTCATATAGAAATGTATAAGAGTTGCAGTTGCCCCCAATTTTTTCCAGCATCTGGTATTTTCAGTTTTCTTTTGGTTACCATTTTAAGATATGTAGTTGATCTTGTTATGGTTTGTATGCTAGATTTTTAAATCTATTCATTTACTATTCTAGTTATTCCTAGTTATGTTATAATGTATAATGTTCAGGCTGTCTTTACCATTTTCAAGTGTGATATTCACAGCAGCTATTCAGATGTGATACTCAATAGTCCGGATTAGCAATTAGTATAATACTAAGAAGTAATTTCAAAGTGACCTATTTTTTTTGTAGTTACCTTGTAATATCAGGTCATATTGAATTTTTTTATGAAATAAATAAAGCAAAATTTTATTATTAAATGACCAATTATTTTTTTCTTAGACAATTTGGGAATCCTTAATCATAGGCATATCATATACTGAGTATTGAATGTTGGCCATTTTCCTTAGCAAAAAAGCACATTTAGTGAACCTATTCAGCCTATCCATTGGGGTCTTAGTTATTCACTTGTTGTTGTTGTTGTTTTGATCTGGGTTGTTACCATGGTGTTCAGACTGGTCTCAAATGCCTGAGCTCAAGAGCATCTCTAGCCTCAACCTTCTGAGTAGCTGGGTCTGATTATAAGTGCATGTCACCACACCAGTTGATTCTTGAGCAAATGCCTTAGGTATTAGTTATGGATGTCAGTGTAAGCGGTCCATGTGGAATTCACAAGTTTACAGGGCATTTTTGATGATGTGTTTCAGAAGTTTCCCATTTTTATAGCAATAACCATGGTTTCAACTTTACTTTTACCTATTGTCATGTTTTATAATAGGCTTGTAAATTCATGTTCTGTTGCATTTTGTTTTCAAATTTCTTTTCTGACCTGGATAATAGCATAGTTTTGAATTTTATATCCAAATAATACATGCATGATGATAGATATCCCCCTTCTCAGTTTTAGTGAAGTATAATTAGCAAGTAAAAGTTAATATTTAAAGTGTACACCATGATATTTTGGCATATGTACACACTGTACAATCAAGCTAATTAGCATACTTGTCACTCAACATAGTTATCATTTTTGTGTGGGTGCTGAGAATACCTAAAATCTACTATTAACTATACTCATTATGGTTTGTATTAGATCTTCAGAACTTTCTTATCCTGTGTAATGGAAACTTTGTATGCTTTGATCCAGGTCTCCCAAATCTCCACCCCTGGTAACCACCATTCCACTCTCTGCTTTTATGATTACACTTTTTGAGATTCCACATTGCTGAACTGAAATAAATTTATCTTAAACCAGCTATTGTACATAGTGAACTGTACACTAGCTTGATGAGTAAACTAACAGTACCCTAAAAATGTACTCTTATACAAAAGTGACTGTCTCAGTCAATCAGAGAATGAAAGCTGCCCAAATATTACCATATCAGGTAAATGCTAACTATGGCTAATCAGGGTGTTTCTGAAGGTCACTTTTTCTTCTCTGGCTGTAAGTATAACAGGGTTATACTTCTACCAGAATGTGATAGAAGGTACATTCTGAACCATCTTTGATCTAGAATGCTTCCTGGTTATATAAACATTTTTTCTTGCTTAAGTTAACTTTGTTAAATTTAATTGATCCCAGTTTTTCTTTTAACAAAATATAAGTGAGGTATAGTATTAGTCTTTCCAATTCTGGGCTTATTCACTTATCCTACTATCCTCCAAGATATGGATAAAACTCAAGTGTCCATCATGGTGAATGAATAAGGAAAATAGCACACACACACACACACACACACACACACACAGGAATATTACACAGACTTAAAACAGAAAGAAACACAACCATTTGTGATAACAGGATAACCATTTGTGTTTCTTATAGATTTTCAAATCTGTAAAACCTTCATGAAAGAATGCAGAATTTTTGGTTTTTACTACTGATTCTAGGACCCAGCCCTAGAATCTAAAAAAGCAGTGTCTTTAAGAGAGGGTATGAGACTCAGCATTACCATAAAAAGGTCCCTGGCCAGTCATTCTGATATAAACAGTCTTAATGGATCCACAAATGTTTACCTAACTGAATTGGTCAATGCTCAGTAAATATTTACTAAATTTTAAAATTGGAAAATATGGTGAGGTGAGTTCTATTCTGAAGGATATTTCATACTTTATATGGCCTGACTTTCTTAAAAATGCATCATCTGTATGGTCTGAATATTGAGAATTCAGACTTACTTCTCTGGCTGTCTAGTTGTTTGTTCAGCAACAAATCACTTAAATTTCCATGATCCAAGTTTTCTCATTTGTAAAATATTGAGTTCAGAATAAATTTATATGACCCATTCGGCTCTAATCCATCATAAGTTTCTATAAATCCTTGATTTAGGTCGTTAATCAGAATTAGAGAAGTTTTCACTTCATGAGAAAGTATCAGGATAACAGTATATTTTTGTGTATGTATGATGAGTTATTAGTTCAGGAGACTAATATCAAACTAGAGAGCAGTTTCTGGGGATCAGATGCCACTTTAACTTTACTATATACTCTTTAGTACGAATGTAAGAGACGTCACCCTCACAGAATCTGTTAAAACACAAAGCTGAGTTAACATAAATATTTTGTATTTATCTTATAGGTATATTACATATATTAGAAAATACATGTGAACATAGACTACCAAAAGATTATAAAAATTTTAGTGCCTCTGCAAGTTGAAAAAAGAGGCAATAAAGCTATGAATATGGCTAGGAACTTGGGCATGAGGAAGCAGGTTGCTTGCATTCAAATTCCTCCTGTATATGTACTCCCTGGCAACAGTGGGATCACCATATTTGTCTTGATTTCATCATCTGTGAAATAAAGATAATACAAGTGTTTATTTAATATAATACCTACTAAAATTTAATGTGTCAAAATCAGAACAGAGACTGGTATATTTTAAGTTTGGTATTGGTACTAATTATCATTGGTTTGGTCCTGCCTTTTCCATGGGGTCCCCATGAACTTGCATCACCTGAAAGTGCTATTTGGCTATTCATATTCTTGGCTAAAAAATGACCTCTCACTCAGTAACCTAGGAATATCCTCCAGAAAAGAATCCATACTCCTGACCTCTGAGACTTCTGTGCCTCGTTTCCATTCATTTGGTATGGGCTGCATCAATCCTTGTTGTTAATTAGGTAATACATGCCACAGCTAGAGCACCTCACATTTGTATCACAGGAGCCTACAGGTGTGGTGGGAATTTAGACAAATGCCCTCTTGTTTGCTCAGAACTCATCAACATAATGCCAAGGTTGTGAGATAAAACATACACTTGTAAATTAACTTTGTAAAGAGGATGATATGTTTCATGGACTCCATGTGGCTCTTGAGAAAATACTGACTTCCATCATAACTTTAATTTTCATCATGAACAAAAAAAAAAAAAAACAACAGTGGGATATGCAATTTAAAAATCCTGTGTGGTGTCCTTTCAACTTACAAAGTTAAGATTTTGCTACACGAAAATAATATACTAAGCAGAATAAGCCAATCCCGAATGTTTTCTCTGATATGTGGATGCTAATTCATAATAAGGGGGTGAGGGCTAGGGAAGAATAGAGGTACTATGGGTTAGAGGGGAGCCAAAGGAGGGGAGGGGGTATTGGGTTAGGAAGGATAGTAGAATGATTTGGACATTGTTATCCTATATGTATATATGTGTACATGACTGGTGTGATTCTATATCATGTACAACTAAAAGAATGAGAATCTGTACTCCATTTATGTATGATGTGTCAAAATGCATTCTACTGTCATGTATAACTAATTAGAACAAAAAATTAGACCTTTCAAAATTACTTATTTGAATTCACAACATTTGGAACTAAAGTTGTTTTCTTAAAGCTATACTAATTGTTGACTAGAAACCAAATGTGTTCATTCACTAAAGCACAGTCAGATAGGAAACACGAAATCATTAAAGTACATAGACAAATACAATGACCTATCCTGAAAATGAAAATTGCAAAAAAAATGTAGTAAAATTAAGTGGATTATAATCATTTAAAATCTATTAAAATGCTCATGATATAGAGCTTCTCATCACAGTAAAAAAATAAGCATATTACATTACTCATCTCAAAACTAGAAATAGTTTATATAAATAGCTAATGTGAATGCAGTATTTGTGCCACTAATGTACGCAATAAAATTACAAACCAATAAAAGGAAATATAAACCTTGGGGAAAAAAAGATTTTGCTACACAGTCTTAATTTTCTTCTGTGAATTAAAGGTTATGAACTAAAGGTTATTACCATTCTGGTTTTGTCATTATGGTTGTATACTCATGTGACAAAAAAGTCATCATCTTGTCTGGGGATGTTTTCACTGATGCATTTTAATCTTTCAGTGACATCTTTTTTGTTTGTAGAACTCCACAAGACCAGCAAAACACACTTCCGGATACAATCCTACATCCATGTGGAACCTCTAGTGAAGCAGAGTGCTCTCGGAATGAAAATGATGAAGATAGCGATGATGGTCAGTTCAGCCTCAATGAGATATACAGTGAGCATTAATTATAGTATCTGCTTTTGGTTCTCTTTGAGGTGTCATTTATATGTAACCTTTGCTCTCCAGATCAAAATCACACACTGTCTTCTTCCCATTCTCTGGATACACTTTGGTGTCATTTAAATAGTATGTTTAAAAATTGAATGCTGAGAAAATATTGTTTCACATAAGCTAGGAAAATTGAAAGTATTTATGCCTTTGTGTGTCTAGTATTTTTATTGTTGATAATATTATTTCAAAAAAGAGATTAGCATATGAGATATATTCTTTGATAATATTATTTACGAATCTTATTTTCTAGTTGAAGAGAATGAAGTACAACACTCAACTTTTTTTTTGCCAGCGGAAGAAGAAAACCTAGAGAGAGCTGAATCCTCTCTAAAGATAATAGAGTTGGATGATGTAAGTGCATAATGATCATTCACATTCCTTAACAAACAAAATCCACAGCATAAAGTTACATTGACATTATTATTTTAAAAAATTTCTTTTATAGCAGAGTTTATAAAGACGTTTACATGTGTTTGAATTTAATCTTGCTGATAAAAATGAAACAGTATAGTTTTCAATGTAGAAAGTTAGTTTGTGAGCTAAACTGGCAATGCCATTTCTTTCTTTTTTTTTAAGCCTGCAGAATGGGAAGTGAGAAAATATTTCACTATGTTAATTTACATGATGGAGTTTGGTATTTGGTTAGCTTAATTCTTTATGTTTATTAGACATTTAAACAAAGATCAGTTTTGTTACATGGCATGTATTTAACCAAATTTAAGTTCAAATGTAGTTTCTAAAGAGTCATTTAAAGTTATTTTCAATTTTAAGGGGCTTATCATAATAACAACTTGCATACAACCTCAGGAATGCACCAGTAAAATCAAATACAGCCAGTGCTAGTCAAAGCTATAGCTCCTGACTGAAGGTTTAGAACATGATGGCATCTCTGGTTATCCAGAAGCTGAGTATACCACTTGTTCTTCATATTTTCTTGCTATGGTTGGCACAGAAAATGAATGAATAGAATGAAGAAACATTACCTCTTTAAATACTGCTTTCTTCTTTAGGCAGTGGGATGAGAGTTTTGTGTTTTATTTTTTAAATTATTTTCTTTCCTGCCTAACACTATTTTAATTTCTCCTCAGACTAAGTTTAAGATATTGTAAACACACACACACACACACACATACTATTTACTAAATTGTTGGTGTACACAATAAGCTTATGACATGCCAGTCAGAAAACTAAAAACCTCTTAGCCACTAATCTACTTAGAAGTTGCTAGTTGCATAATAAAAAAATAGTTGTTATTGTTGGTTGAAGTGAATGACACTTCAAATGAGCTTAATAAAAAACAGTTGAGGCGGCTTGTTGGTGCATGACTATAATCTCAGAGGCTTGGGAGGCTGAGGCAGGAGGATCATGAGTTCAAAGTCAGCCTCAGCAAAAAGCAAGATGCTAAGCAACTCAGTAAGACCCTGTTTCTAAATAAAATATAAAAAAGGGCTGGAGATGTGGCTCAGTGGTCGAGTGCTCCCGAGTTCAATCCCTGGTACCCCAAATAACAACAACAAAACAAAAACATTTAAATTTGCTTAGTCCTAAAATTCACAAGATACAGGATATAATTAGAGGGTTAAGTATATAATTTGTAGAGTAACAATACTCCAAATATAACCTGTACTTAGCTGACTAATGTGTAAATAAAATTACTGAACATACTAATATTGTATTAATATTATTATTTATTAAGACTTATGAAGAGGAACTTGAAGAACCAGGAGACATTGTGCCTTACAAAGTTGAGTTAGCTAATTCAGACAGTCAACCAAGGTAAGATCTCTATAATTTGCTTTGGGTGCTTGTTAAAAGCCAAACACACACAATAATCTATTTTTTTAGATGAGAAATGCGTGGTGATAAAACATGACATAAATGTTAATTTTCCTGAAGCCATGTTTAAATTTATATACAATAATGCTAATATTTATCAACATTCAGCAGTAGAAAAGTGTCTGAAGGGTTGAGTTTGCACTCTTGCCTAACATGTGGACTATTTAATAGATTTTTCTGAATTCAGGAATTGTTATCATTCAAAATCAGACCAAGCCTGATATAATTCAAGTAAGACAGTCTTTTCTCCAAAGATACTCTTTGGATTTCTTTATTTTATTGTGTTATGAATACTAAATAAAAGTTAGGTAAAGTATTATATTGAGTCTAAAAGAATTCCCATACTGTAAACTATTTCCTACAAGCCTTTAAAATATGATAAATTAATAAAGTATAATGGTTTAGTAATTGTTTTGTAGAATTTTATCACTTCCAAATGAAAAGTAATATCTTCTTTTGTTCATTAATAATGTTAAAAATTACCCTTAATTCCCTTTGCTGTTGATAGTAGAATGAATCAGACATAACTTTCCTATGTTCATATGTGAATATATGACCAGTGTAATTCCACATCATGTACAATTACAAGAATTGGAAGTTATACTCTATTTACATATGATATGTTAAAATACATTCCACTGTCATGTATAACTAAAAAAAAAAGATTCAAAAGAATTACCCCTTTGCTGTTGAAACTTTAGGATTTCACCTATTTTTACTATGAAGTATTACCTTTAGTATGATGTTATTATTTAGTAGTTCCTATAGCTATTCTTTGTTCAGATCAACTTAAAGACTCCTGAGAGTGTTTCACAATTGCTAGATAGCTAAGGAATTCCCCCCTTCCCCCATTGCCCCCAGAAAGCTCCTTATTCAGCTATATAGACCCAGATGTCTAGGAATAAGTACGCTTTTAGTAGGAGAAAACTTTTCTGGTCACTAGATAAGAGGTTTCTGTCCATTACTTTGTTGCTAAGGAAATGAATGGTATTTCTGCTTTCTAATTTGATTATTTTATATATGTTATCACATGTCTTTGTTTTGACCCTGTGTGTAGTATTAGAGGCGGGGAGAAGATTCCTGGTCATGGTTTGGTAGGTTTACAGCTTTGGTTTGAAGGTGCTCATAAAATTACCTTAACTTTATCTCCCGCCTAGGGATCCTAAGTGATAAAATGGGATCAAAAACGGGGGGGGGGGGGGGGAATCTTTTGTAATCTGCAAATTTTATGATGGTACATGTAGAGCTTACATAAACATCAGGTATTATTAAGTGTATTATTCAAGTCATAGTTAATGCTATTTAAATTATAATTAGGTTTATAGATAGTAACCATTATCAAAAATTAAAAACCTAAATACCATTTACTACTTTTTAACTCTTATAAATACCAAAATATGGTTAGCTAGTAATAAAACCTGGATTTCATCAGATTTCAATGAGTTTGAAAGATAACTCTTTATCTTTAGAAGACAGAATGTAAGAAATCAAATTATTTCAAAATGTTTTGAAACAGGAAATGTCAATTAAAAATTTTTAATTAAATTGAATTTGATCCAGTTAACTACTTAACAGTAGTTAACTGGTAGTTTAGAATATATCCAAATAAAGGCTAAAACAATATTAAATTTACATAAATATCCTGTATCATTAAGGCTTTACTATATTTATTTTTACTAAACTGGGGCTCTTAAATATCTTTTCTTTTCCTCTATTTTTGTGTTTCTCCCTAAACATGAAAGTTGTACGTTTCATGATTATCAGCAGAATAGGTTTCCACATGAAAATGACATCCATCAAAATCATGTTTTCAACGAGGAGAAAACAGACCTCTTAAATCTTGGTCTGAAAAACAACTCCATGTATTGTGAAGATAACCTAAAAGGTAATTTTTTTATTGTTGCTTAATATTATTAATAATGAATGTTAATAAAACCAAAGATACTGTAGTATATAAAAGTTTTGCTGATTATTCTGTTTATTTTAAAACCAGAAAATTTAGCACTTAGAAGATAATTGGTTGAAAACATATAATTTTCTAGCAAATATAAGCCTTCTTAGACAATGGACAACAGTGTTTGTGTTCATAAGAAAAATAAGCCAATTTAGGATTCTCTAAAAGTTATTCTGGACTGAACTAACATTTCAGAAATTACATGAAAAATGCTTTAGTGACAACAGCTTGATTGACACCCTGTGGTTCTCATATTAAATATATCCTCACAATATTTTCATTTACTGTAAAACTTTATGTAAGAGATAAACCTAAACAAATCGTCTTATTTATATTTCAGTGTTATTATTACTAGTAGTTCCTTTGGATTCTAGTATGCTGTGTGCAAGTGTCTGGATTCACTTTTTTGATTGTGAGATCATCATTTAGAGGATCATAGGAAAGTATCCTAGCCTGTGAGTCAGAATTTGCTTTCCTATCTTCTTTCCAGATAGGAAATAAGGGTTTCACCTTGAAACCATCATTCACTTTCTTAGATTTCACTTTTCTAAGCTAAAATGTAAGAATCAGATAATTTTGAGGTTTCCTTTTCAACATTATATTTTATCTACCTAGAATTTTCATAAAAAAACAATGAATATATTTTACATGAAATCTTTGAGAGATACTGAAGGATATTATTTAAAGTAACTATTGTAAAACTAATGATTACTTTCCAATTGGCAGGAAAGAGTACAGAACAGAAGTAGACTTATGTCAATCTCACTGGTCTTACTATTTCAACTACCAAGCCTCTGAAAAGTTATGGCTGAGTATAAACTGTATCTACTTTGGAACTTAAAATTTATAGGGCTCCAAATTTGGTCCAGAAAATAAATGTTATTTGACTGAGATAGCACATGATGTTTCAATTGCCTTTGTGAAAAAAGTGAAGATAAAAATTGGAATAAGTGTTACTTTAAAGATTTTTTTAAAAATTATGTATTTATTTATTCTAATTTGTTATACATGACAGCAGAATGCATTTCAATTCATAGTACATATATAGAGCACAATTTTTCGTGTCTCTGGTTGTACACAAAGTGTAGAGTCACACTATTTGTGTCTTCATACATGAACTTAGGGTATGATATCGATCTCATTACACCATCTTTCCTACCCCCATGCCCTCACTCCTTTCTCCTCCCACCCCTTGACCTATCTAAAGTTCCTCCAGTCCTCCCATCTTCCCTGTTATTATGGGTCAGCATCTACATATCAGAGAAAACATTTGGCCTTTGGGTTTTTGGATTGGCTTATTTCATTTAGCATAATATTCTCCAACTCCATCCATTTACCTGCAAATGCCATAATTTTATTCTCTTTTAATGCTGAATAATATTCCATTGTATATATATACCACATTTTCTTTATCCATTCATCTACTGAAGTACATCTAGGTTGGTTCCACAGTTTAGTTATTGTGAATTGTGCTGCCATAAACATTGATATGGCTGTGTCCCTGTAATATGCTGTTTTTAAGTCCTTTGAGTATAGACTGAGGAGTGGGATATCTGGGTCAAATGGTGGTTCCATTCCCAGCTTTCCAAGATTCTCCATACTGCTTTTCATATTGGCTGCACCAATTTGCAGTCCCACCAGCAATGTATGAGTGTGCTTTTTCACCCACATCCTTGCCAACATTTATTGTTGCTTGTATTCTTAATAACTACCATTCTGACTGTAGTGAGATGAAATCTTAGAGTAGTTTTGATTTACATTTCTGTAATTGCTAGAGATGTTGAACATTTTTTCATATATTTGTTGATTGATTGTATATCTTCTTCTGAGAAGTTATCTATTCAGTTCCTTGGCTCATTTATTGATTGGGTTATTCGACTTTTTGATGTTAAGATTTTTGAGTTCTTTATATATTCTAGAGACTAGTGCTATATCTGATGTGCATGTGGTAAGGATTTGTTTCCAATTAGTAGGCTCTCCATTCACCTCACTGATTGTTTCTTTTGCTGAGAAGAAGCTTTTTAGTTTGAATCCATCCCATTTATTGATTCTTTATATTAATTCTTGTGCTATAACAGTCTTTTTCTTTTAATTTTTAAAGTAGTTTGTTTTTCATAGACAGGCCATGCACATGGTACAAAATTCATCAGTTAAATCTTTGAAATATAGTGAAAGTAAGTTTTCTTCTCCAGAGGCAGTCATTGTTTCTAATTTCGAAAGTATCTTTCTGGAAATACTCTTCACATAAATAAACATGTATGCAATTACTGTATATTCCTCCCCACCCCTGCATACTGTGCATAAAGTTTCACATCTTGTCACTTGGCAATGTATTTTGTAGATATTTCCATATTAATATATGTAGAGCTATTTATTCTTTTCAATAGCCTGTAGTATTCCATTATGGAAGTACCTCACTGGCTTAACTAGCTTGCTACTAATGTACACTTAGGTTGTTTTACAATCTTTTGATGGATATATGTTTTTTTTTAATTAATTTTTTAAAAATTATATGTGACAGAGGAATGCATTACAATTCATATTACACATATAGAGCACAATTTTTCATATCTCTGGTTGTATACAAAGTAGTTTCATACTAATTTGTGTCTTCATAGATGTACTTTGGATATAGGAATCTTATTAAGAAAGTTGGGGCCTAATATGACATAATGGGAATTTGGGCCTACTTTTTCTTCTATTAGACACAGGGTCTCTGGTTTAATTTTTAGGTCCTTGATCTACTTTGAGTTTTGTGCATGGTGAGAGATAGGGGTTTAATTTCATTTTGTTCCATTGGGATTTCCAATTTTCACAGCACCATTTATTGAAGAGGCTATCTTTTCTCCAATGTGAATTTTTGGCGCCTTTGTCAAATATAAGATAACTGTAATTATGTGGGTTAGTCTCTGTATCCTCTATTCTGTACCATTGGTCTACCAGTCTGTTTTGGTGCCAATACCATGCTGCTTTTGTTACTATTGCTCTGTAGTATAGTTTAAGTTCTGGTATAGTGATGCCACCTGCTTCACTCTTCCTGCTAAGGATTGTTTTAGCTATTCTGAGTCTCTTATTTTTCCATATGAATTTCATGAGTGCTTTTTCTTTTTCTATGAGGAATATCATTGGGATTTTGATCAGAATTGCATTAAATCTGTATAGTGCTTTTGGTAGTATGGTCATTTTGACAATATTAATTCCGTCTATCAAAGAACAATGTAAATCTTTTCATCTTCTAAGGTGTTCTCTAATTTCTTTCTTTAGCATTCTGTAGTTTCATTGTAGAAGACTTTCACCTCTTTCATTAAGTTGATTCCCAAGTATTTTATTTTATTTTATGCTATTGTAAATGGGGTAGTTTTCCTTGTTCCCTTTCCGAGGATTTGTCATGATATACAGAACTGCCTCTGATTTATGGGTGTTGATTTTGTATCCTGCTACTTTGTTGAATGCATTTACTAGTTCTAGAAGTTTTCTGGTGGAATGTCTTGGGTCTTCGAGGTATAGTGCCAATTTGAGTTATTCTTTTCCTATTCATATGCCTTTAATTTCTTTCTTCTAATTGCTCTGGCCAGTGTTTCAAGGACTATGTTAAATAGAGGTGGTGAAAGAGGAGGGCATCCCTGACTTGTTCCAGTTTTTTGAGGGAATGCTTTCAATTTTTCTCCATTTAGAATGTTGTTGGCCTGGGGCTTAGCATATAGATGGCTTTTATGATGATGAGATATGTTCGTATTATCCCTATTTTTCTAGTGTTTTGAACATAAAGGGGTGCTGTATTTTGTCGAATGCTTTTGCTGCATCTATGAGATGATCATATGATTCTTATCTAAGTTTATGATGTGATGAATTACATGTATTGATTTCCATATATTGAACCAACCTCTTGGGGCCAGTGGTGGTGTTGGGTGGTGTGTTCAGAGATGCAGTCTGTGGTGTGCAGTGTTGTGGCTGGCAGCTTATCTCCAGACCCTGTATGGTGTCCCCAGGTGCAGGCTACCTCATGTAGGGGACTATGGCAGTGGTTGCAGTGTTCCAAGATGGAGGCGACCAGAGAAGCCCCATGTTGGTAGATGGGGGTCCACACAGAGTGGAGGCTGGAGGTCCTGTGTGGGAGCGGCGTCCAGTATTCCTGCAAGGGTGGCAGCCAGGAGTCCTGTGTGGGTGCTGATGCCAGTGGTCCTGCTCTGGCACAGCTGCTGGAGGTCCTGTGTGGGTGAATAGCCGGGAGTCCTGCACTGACGCTGAGCCCTGAAGACCTGTGCAGGCACAGTGGCTGTTATTCCTGTGCGGGAGCAGCTGTTGGGTGTCCTTTAATAACTCACAGACAAGCAGCATTCTCCTACTTAAATCTCAGGTCATAGAGTGACACAGAATGCAGCCTGCCTCTAGCTGGTCATCTTAGATCTCTTTAAAGATATTTTTAAAAATTTATTATGGAGATCCATTTTTGGTTTGCATCAAACCTGAGCAGAAATTAGAAAGAGTTGCTATATGTCTTTTGTCCCCAAATATGCACAGCTTTCCTCACTGTCAACCTTCCACACTAAAAAGCTCATTTCTTTGTAGTACTGTAAAATATTCTGTTGTACATGTATATGCTTATTTATCCATTGACCTATTGAAGGATGTCTTGATTGCTTCCAAACTTTGAGTATTATTAACAAAGCTTCCATTAACATGCATATGTGGGTAAAAACCCATTATACATAAGTTTTCACCTCATGGGAAAATACCAAGAAGGATGTTTATTGGATCTCATGCAAGAGTATGTTTAGTTCTGTATGAAATTGCCACTGTGTCTACCAGAGTGGCTATACTGTTTTACATTTCCATGAGTATTTGACAAGAATTTCCATTGACCTATATCCTAATCTATATTTGAGGTTTTCAATGTTTTAGAGTTTTGCTATTGTAATTATTGTGTAGTAATAACTCATTGTTTTGTTTTCAATTTATTAATGGCATATGAGGTTGAACTTTCTTGGTGTGCTTATTGCCTTCTGTATATCTTCTTCATTGAGGTATCTGTTTATAATTTTGTCTATTTTTAAATTGGTTGCTTTGTTATTCTTCAATTTTAAGAGTTCTTTGTATATTTTGGATAACAATCCTTTATCAAACATGTCTTTTACAAATATCTTCTGTCAGTCTGTGGATTGACATCCCATTCTCCTAAAAGTATTTTTTCATGAGCGAAAGTCTTTAATTTTAATGAAGTTCATCTTATTATTTCTTTGGCATTGTGTCTCAAAATTTATTGCCATATGCAAGATCATCTATGTCTTATTCTGTGTTTTGCATTTTATATATAGGTCTATTCTCCATTTTGAGTTCATTTTTGTGAAAGTTGCAAAGTCTGTGTCTATGTTCATGTTTTTTCTTGTGTGGTTTTCTTGTGCACCACCATCATTTGTTGAAAAGACAATCTTCTCTTCAATAGACAGTCTTTGCTCCTTTTTCAAAGATTACTTAGTTTTATTTATTTATATATTCTGGGTCTTGTGTCGTCTTCCAATGATCTTTTTATCTATTTTTACCAATACCAAGCCATATAATTATTGTATATTTATAGTAATTATTGAAGTTGGATGGTGTCAGTCCTCTAACTGCTCTTTCCTTAATATTGTGATGCCTCTTTGGGTTTGTTTTCCTCTCCATAAGAACTTTAGAATGAGTTTGTCAATAGTCACCAAATTAAACTAGGAGTTTTATTGAGATGACATGAAATCTACAGATCAAATTGGGAAGAATTGACATCTTTAAATATTGAATCTTCTTATCCAGAAACATGAAATATTTGTCTAATTAGTTATTTGATATCTTTCATCAGAACCTTATAGTTTTCTTCATACAGACATTATACATATTTTATTAGATTTTTATCTAGGTATTTTATTTTGGGGGGGAGGGGGTTGCTAATATAAATGGTCTTGAGTTTTCAGTTTTAAATCCAGTTATTCATTACTAGTTTATAGGAAAGAGATAGACTTTTATACTTTAATCTCATATTCTGCATCCTTGCTATAATTGGTTATAAGTTCAAGCCTGATTTGGGGTGATGGTGATATTTTCAGAATTTTCTACGTAGACAATCAAGTCATCAGGGAATAAAGACAGATATCCTTATCATTTAGTACTTTCATTTCCTTTCCCCATCTTATTGGATTAAGTAGGAATTCTAGTACAATGTTGAAAAGGAATGGAAGGAAGGGATATTATTTTCTTATTCCTGATCTTAGCAGAAAAGCTCTTGTTTCTTACTATTAAGCATAAGGTTAGTGGTTAAGACATTTGGAGATGTTCTTTATCAAATTAAGGAAATTCTCTTCTCTTTTCAGATGGCTGAGAGTTTTTATCATGAATAGGGGTTAGATTTTGTCAAATGCTTTTAACAGAATGCTTCACTATGATCATATGATTTTTCTTCTTCAACCCAAGTGATTCATAAGAATAATTGGTTGTTGAGTATTGAATTAAGACACATAATATTTATAACACAATAGGGCTTTTTTTGTGGGGGGGATACCAAGAATTGAACTCGGGCACTTGATCACTGAGTCACATCCCATTCCTATTTTTTTATACTTTATTTAGAGACAGGGTCTCACTGAGTTGCTTAGCACCTTACTTTTGCTGAGGCTGGCTTAGAACTCACGATCCTGCTGCCTCAGATTCCAGAGGTGCTGGAATTGCAGGTATGCACCACTGCACCAGGCTTTCCATGAATAGACTAAGTTAAATATTTAAAAGGCTTCTTACATTGCATTTTAAACATTATTAAAAGACTATTTTTTCACTTTTTCAATGACAATGACTGTAGTAGAATTTTACAACCTTAAAATATTATTGAAGGTAGTTGTAGAAAATTCAACATAAGAAATGGCTTCTTTTTCTAATGAAAAATCAGATAATTTCTATAAAAATCAGATAATTTTAACAGAGAAGTATAGTACTACTGTAGAAGCCTTAATAATGTTCTTATAAAAGTATTTTTCTGATGTACACATTATTTATTTCTCATAATATTTTTGTGATATTTAAGAACTGCTGTAGTCAGAAGTGAAAGTTCTACATACCATGTGTAATTACCATGAATGTAAACATTTGAACATAACAACGAAATCTTTTGGAATGTAAAGCAGAATTCACATTATTGGAGAGATAAGTCTAGTCAACGCCTCTACTATTTTAGGTAGTCTATTTATAGAGATATTTGTTTTGTAAAGAGAGTAAGGGATAATCAGATAAAGCTCTATTCAATACCAAAATAGCATATGTACTTTTATTTATAATAAAAACAAAGGAATGCAAAAATCATTAAAGAATTGTCATTCTTCAGAAAGTCTTAACCAGTATTTCACCACTCTGGCTGTGCTTTATAATCACCAGAAGAATTTGGTAGGGGAAGGGGGGAAAAAAGGCCAGCGCTTGAGTTTCACCTCCAGTGTCTGATTTAATTGGTTTGGGGTCAGGCCTATACACAGTCAGTTTTAAAGAGCACCTTCACATGATTCCATTGTGCAGTAGATTGAAAACCAATTATCTACACCAAGTGATTTATTTAAAGAAGACTTAATGAGGTGGGTGACTAATATGATCTCGCTCATTTTGTAACTTTCTAGAGGAAGGTGTCCCAGCTACACATTTTCTGTGCCTCCAACTGCTGCTGTTCTTTCACTGGGTAGATTTCCCTTTGCCCTCTCCTTATCACTAACCATGCTAGGGAAAGGAGGTAAATTGTGGACTGTGGGAGGCTGACTAGCACGTGACTGCGTCTGTCTCCCCTTCTAATTGGTGTGGCATCATTGTCATAAGTCACTCTGTGATCTGGTTGCCTATGTAACCCAGAAAATTGCCCCAATCTTTTAGGGTGCGAGCCACTATGTCTTTGTGCATGGGCATGCCTTCCTATAGCCCCATGGGTGGAGCTATGCTCACCTATTCCTTTGTAATATTACCTCTTGCCGGGTTTGGGATAGAATGTTCCATGGAAACATCCTTTGTGTATCCCCTTCTCTTACTGTGCCCTTGGGTGTGGCCTACCCAGATGTCAGTCAACCTGTTGATAGCAGACATCATGAAGCTAGACTCAGCCCCTTGAAACCTGACCCCTTGCCTCATTTGAATAGCTTCTCCTCAATAAAAGGGGTCAGCATGTGCTCTCTGTCTCTTTCTGCGGACCCTTAAGGTCAGAGGAGCAGTCACACACACCCCCACTCACACAAAAAGGTATTTCTGTCTCTTGTGTGGTTTTTTCGCGCAGCCCTGCAAATGGCATCCCTGGGTGGGTGAAAGGTCTGAGTGTTTAGGTCGATGGGACAAAGCGACAGTGGACAATGGTTTCATTTGCATTAATTCTTATGAATTGCAGTTGGAAAATCTGAGAAGAAATGGGAACTGAACTGCAGGCCAAAATAAAACTTTGCATTAATTTCAAGATTTCATTGCAAAAATAACATCTTGCCTCCTTCTATTAGTCCCATTACTAATGTTTGCCTGTATAAATAAATTATGATTGCCATTTATGAACATAAGTATAGTAAAAGTATTTTCATGCTGAACCAATCAGGAAAGAAATTTGGATAAAAGAAGGCTTTATTGGTAAAATTTTTATCACAAAATTTCTATTTTATTAACATTTAAATTAATTAACTTATTTGAATCTCTTTACTTTTTATAAATATGTGTTTTCAACAGCAGGAACTTCATATGTAGATTTTGACAACATTATGGATCCTGATGTTTATTATCTCAACATCGGAAAAATAGGGGAAAACAGCTCTTTTAAAGGAAATTTCAAAGACAAACAGATAGATACAGAAAGTAACCAAAAGTCTGATGATTCCTGTACATCTCTTAAGAGGAAGGATTCCTTGACAAATATAGATTTAGATAAACCTTCTGTTGAGGAGAAATTATCTCAACACATCAAAGAATCCTTGGAATCTAGCAATCTTCATGAAAGACCAAACTCTTCTAAAACTACAGAATCACCACTGGTAAATTTCTATTATGTTTATTATATTAACATTAGTATAAGGAATTTTCATAGGAAAATGTCACTTTGACATAACATGTTTTCAAATGCTATTTTCTATTGAAGTTAAAATGTACTGCCTTTTATTATCATGTGGTGGCTGAAGAGTAACTCATGTGAAGGATAAAACTCAATGACTTACAGGTCAGAATTTTAAGGCCCACCTCATATAAGAGTGCTATTGCTTTTACAAATGAAATTCATTCTTACAAATAATATAATAAATCCTACAGGTTTTGTTATATCTTGGTCAAAATGAAATAATGTAGATACATAGATAGAACTAATTTCTGTGGTATAATATAAGGGAAAGAAATTAATTCTTTAAGAATTAGGACTAATAAGGAAATGGTGGTGGATTTTTTTTTTTTTTTGGTCTGTTTCTTCTCAGAGTAGATAAACATAATGTAGCTCATTATTTTATTGTTGCCAGATTTTAAGACTAAAATTTATTCCTTAATGATATATAGTAGAGGTTTTCAGTAATTGTGATTATTAATAGTAAATTCTTTGGAAGTTGGGTTATCAAACATTTTCATAATCTTTAATAATTATTTAAGATATATCTCCAGAAACCTAAACTGAAATAATAACCCTAAGTACAGAAGAATGACTATTTGGGTTGCTGTTACTTTTCTTGGGCAATTGGCTTTCTCTGCCTACTTTGTAACTTATGTTGTTTCTTTGTAAAATGAGAAATTGAGACCTCTGAAAAAACTTAGATCCCATTGAAATAAAATTCCACATGTGTATGATTTTGTCAAAATGGACCCAACTACTTATGTATAACTATAATGCTCTAATAAAAAAATGCTTAGATCCCTAAAGGAATGCATCAGAAGAAATAATCATATGTATAACAAGATGAAAGGAAACTGATATATAAGATTTGGGGTAATTCAATCAGTACAACTTCTATCATGAAAAATGAAAATCTCAGGCATTCATTTAGTATGGGTCTTTGTTTATATAATTTTAAAATTTTATTTGTTCTTTTTAGATATACATAACAGTAGATTGTATTCTCACATATTATACAAACATGGAGTATAATTTTTTCTAATTAGGATCCCATTCTTTTTTTTTTTTAACATTTGAATCAGATGGGGTATAATTTCTCATTTTCTGAGTGTTCAGGCTGCAGAATCACAAAGTGTTGGTCTTTATATACCTATTCAATATATTTGAAATCTCCAAGTTAAGAGATTAATGTCATTGTCAAATCATTCCTATTAATAATAGACTTATGTATCTGATAGAAGTAAATCCCAATGTCTTCTAGAAAGACCTTCCTATAGTTTATCCAACAATAGAATTCCCCAAATAAAGTTCCACCTTAGAAGAGCTTATATCCCCAATTTACAAATGAAAACAAATGATCACTGCATGAATTTCAGCGAATAAAACAGAAGAAAACCAATTTTCCAATTACCACACAGGGTATTATGAAGGTGACTTGGTAAAACCTGCTCATACGGGTGGGGGTGGGCTGGGTTATAGGAAAAGCATCCTAGCATACAGAGCCTACTCTTTAGTTCTGAATAGTAAGTCTGCCTAACCTACCAAGTTGTTGTCACAATGTTCTAGAAATTGGGTCCTTGGAATACCAATTTCAAATTAGTGATACTTAGACAACTGCTTTAGCTCTGAATAATAATCTCCTTTGTCTCTGACCAAGAAGTCTTGTATCGTTTGCCAGAAGATAGGGTAAAGATTTGCAAAGAGGATAAATTTCAGACCTTTCACGGTTCTTGAAGACAAATAGAAAGAGTAAGTTGACAGAAATAAATTTAAGCATATAAGTAATTAGAATAGCTGTGAACAGATTAAAGTGTGAACAGATTAAATTGTATAATCTGAAGTTAGATACAGATTCTAAGTTTGGATATACAAACAATCTAGATGGTTGTTTTAAACCATAAACTTATTTAAAATTAAACATGAGGAAAAGTTTGAGAGTAAAGAAAAGCACTAACTTAAAAAAAATAATGAGAACTTTAAGATAATAAAAGCATTATCTTAAATAAAAGCAAAGGGAATTACAATGTATGTAAAATGAATTATTTGTCAGGAAAATTAAATGAAATCTGAACTTGTAGGTATCTATTAATATAACCTCAGATATATTGTAGCAAAAATGGACAAAACTACATAATATCACTGACAGACCCATCAAACCAATAGGATTTTTTTTAACTTGTGAAAATAGAGAAAATTTGAACAATGTAAATCAGCTTACAGGACAAAGTATTAACCCTGTAATAATTAGAGAATGTGTATTCTTTGCAGAAACACATAGAACATTTACAAAATACAGTTTTATAACTCATTGCCAAAACAAAGCTACAAGGAAAGTCTCAACAAATCCTAAAGAAATTATATCAGACACTATGTTTTTCAACCACAGTAAAATAAATTATAAATTGATAACAAAATGGTAAGAAAATTAAACACAATTCAAATAAGTTTGGATTAAGAAATAAATTTTAAATATTTGACATTAAATGTGACCCCAAACGATACGCAATTAGCAGAAACCATACTTCAATTTTTGCATGTTGTCCTTTTTCTGGATATTTGATATGATATTTGTTCACAATACTAGGTAGTGACCTTGAGCTGTAGCTCAAAGTTAGTTACTTTACATTGTGATGTGTTGCTAAGCTATGATGTTTGTCAGGTTACATGTATTAAATGCATTTTCAACTTTATAATATTTTCATTTTAATGGTGGGTTTCTTGGGATGTAACTATTATAGTTCATGAAGCACATGTAACCATAAATGCAAGAAAATATAGAGTGAAAATTAATGAGTTATGAACCTGACTCATAAATAATAAAACAATGATAATTAACCAAACTCAAAGATATAGAAAAAAATAATGATGTTAAGTACAGAAATTACTAAGACAAAAAGTGATAAATAGGATCAGTGCAATTAAAGCTGTTTTGTAAAAGGCTAAAGTCTACCATATTAAGACTACATATTATGTTTGGACATGTTGACCAAAAAAAAAAAAAAATGAAGAAATTACAAATAAACAGTATATGTTAAGTCAGAACAGTGAATGATATAATGTTCAAATTGTTAGTTACTTATAGCATTAAAACAGTACTTTCAAAAATTTTGAAAAAAAGCTAGATGTTTTATAAATATGACTTAAGTGCTCAAGTTTGGAGCTCAGTATTCAGAGGACTGGAGTGGGGAGGTAGGACATTTGAAGTGGTTAGGTCATCATACAACGTGAAATTTCTCACTAGATGACTTTCTGGCCTCCACAATTTTAAGAAATAAAATTATTTTCTTTAAAACTTGCATGTTTTATGATATTCTATTGTTGTAACACAAAATGGACTAGACACCATAAAAGCATTTCAACTAGCAGACATTCATCTATTGTCTTCTTAACTCCTTTCCTTTCATAAAAAAAAAAAAAAAAGTTAAAAAAAAAAGTAAGACATAGGTTAAGTTTTGGAGGTAAATTTTAATAAGCCATTAAAGAATTGATAATTTAAATTATTCAACCTCTTATGAAGAATAGAAAAGAAGAGAAAATTCCCCAATTATTTTCTGAGGCTAGTATAACATTAATAGAGAAACTGGGAAAAGATTATTTTCCAAAATACAAATTTAGATGTCATAAAATAATAGCAAACCAAATCCAGTACCTTATGTGAAAAAGGAACTCAATTAGCTTTTTCTCAAAAATTCAGTAGCTCAATGGATGTGATAAAGCTTTTGATAAATTAAAAAAAAAATCAAATCATTAGTAAAGTACATCTCCCATAATGCTAATAAAAGACATTTTACAAATACCACAGGTAATATAATCATTGGTAGTCTATATAAAATGCAAACCAATGTACCAGTTAAAATGAAGGAAAGGGAACTTCTATCATACACATGGATACAGATCAAAAATATAATGTAAACATATAACTGTGAAAAAATACATAGAGTGTAAGTGTGACATTTTTTCTTTCTATACTTGGGGTTGAACCTAGGGACACTAACACTAAGTTACATCCTCAACCCTTTTTAAAATTTTTTATGTTTAGACTGGGTCTAAATAAATTGCTGACCTGGCCTTGAAGTAACGATCCTGATCCTCTTGTCTCAGCCTCCTGAGTAGCTAGGATTATAGGAGTGCCAGAGAACCTAGCTCAGTTTTTGCAAACATTTAAGATAATTGTAACTTTTATGAATACACTCAGAAATGATAGTAATCAGAAACATGCACTGGAATAGGATATGTTAATGTCAACATAAATATCTACAAAGTCTAAAAGGTTTTGTGGTACAAATATCTGGAGCATATTAATTTGACAAAATTATGTGTCATATATTTACATTTTAAAAGTACTTCACAATTAAAACAAAAATTTTACAGTGTTACTAACTGTCGTTTGATTCCTGAAATTACTATTATAAAAATGTGCTTTTTGTTAAGGTGGTGAGTGATTACATAATTGAGTACAGTGATTTACACATAGTAAGTATTCAGGAAGTCATTATTGAAATTTATGAAAACATCCTCAACAGATTTATTTGAGAGCCTAAAGAGAATTTTTTAATATTATCCATCTGGTTGTTAAAATGATTCAGTGTAGCCTAACTGTCTTGATTTTGGCTTAGTACAACATGTTTGTTCCTTAGCTATTTTTCAGGAAGACAGTAGTTACCCACAATTTTAGGTGAGGACAGTCCCAAGTCCATGTCATCAATAGTCAGGTGATGTTTTGGAGAGGACTACATATTCCTTTGCCCTCATATTTCCAAGGGGAGAGAATAAGCTTCACCTGAAGGAGACTGCAGTTTTCCAATGAACCATGCCAGTGAGTTTCTCCAATCTTGTAGTCAGTTCTCTCCATGGAAAAAAGAATAACTTTAGTGGTTAGGGATACTAGAGTTTGATATCATCGGGACAGGGATATTGCCTTAAAATAATTTAACTCATTATTCTGCTAAGGTATTTCCTTCTCTCTGTACATGTATATCAGTCTCCTTTTGTGTAGGTATTTGCATCTGTTTCAGATGGCAATCTCCTTTATTTTGACCTCTTCTTTACCAGTAAGTTCTCAATGGTGTCTTATCCTTCCCTGCTTCTGTTATCCATGTCTTCCTGGATAAATTCACTGTAAAAAGCTTTCCCTTTAATTCCTTTCTGTTCAATAGAACAGGAATAAGGAAACATGCATGCCTATTAGGCCCTGCCCATTTTCCAATCCAGTTTCCAAGGGAAGTGGGTTACTAATCCAGTAGGTAGTTAATCCAGTAACTTGTATCTCATCTTTACTTCCTGCAATTAATCATGGTCTGTCAAGAAAAGCTATGACTTATATTGCATCCCCAATTCCCAGCAGTGTTCTTATACTTCTTTTATATGAGCATACCATCCTATTTGATTGATTTAGTTAGGTTTTTTTTTTTTATTTCTGTGATCAAAAGACCTGAGAAGATCAATGTAGAGGAGGAAAAGTTTATTTGGGGCTCATGGTTTCAGAGGTCTCAGTCCATGGTCAACCAATCCATTGTTCTGGGCCCAAGGTGAGTCAGAACATCATGGTGGAAGGGCATGTTGAAGGACAGCAGCTCAGGACCTGGCAACTAGAAAGCAGAGAGAGAAAGAACTCCATTTACCAGTGATAAAATATATACCCTGAAAGCTGCTTCCCTGTAAGATACCTCCTCCATCCACACCCTACCTGCTTACAGTTACCATCCAGTTAATTCATATCAGTGGATTAATCCACCAATTAGGTCACAACTCTAACCATCTAATTATTTCATCTCTCAGTGTTCTTGAATTGTCTCACGCATGAGCTTTTTGGGGATACCTCATATCTAAACCACAACATCAGTTTATAAGGTTTATCACTAAGTTTAGATATTTAGTAAAAGGTATATATTGTTTGGGTACATTCTAGTTTTATTCCATTTAACATTTTAAATTGTTCAGAACATAATATATTCTGACAAAACCTAGATCACTTAACAATCTAGAAAAGCATGTAAACATCTGGGATACATAAAGTTCTTACCAGCTTGAACCTGCTGAAATTATCAAGCACAGCGACTGTGGTAAAATGGCTTATGTGGTGCTTGTTTATTTCAATTAGGTCAGTCTGAATGTAGTTCTGGACTGTAGCAAAGTAGTTGTATGTAAAGCCTGACTTTTTCTCATGGGGGATATTGGATTGAAAAACTTATACTTTGTTGGAAGAATCTGTCAAAGAATTGTAAAGGAGTCTTCAACAGATTTAAGGGTCTGCAACTTGATAATTGCTCTTCTATAAATAAAATATTTTAATGCACTCCAACATAATTTTAAGTGAGGAATAAAAAAGTGTAAATAGTTTCATAGAAATTATCTTCCACTTAATAGGATTCAGACTGAGTGGCCCAGATTCTGTCTGAGCATCTTCCAGGAGATGGCTGATTTCTACAATGGGTTAAAGTGTTGGGTCACAGCAAGAGAGAGCTCAAAGCTGTAGACATACAAAACAGAAAGCGACCAAGAGGGGAGCTGTAAAGTAAGCAGAGCTTTCTAAAGTTGACATCAGAAAAATTGGTACTTCATAGTTTGCAGACCCAATTCTTGCCCTTGAATATATTCACTTTCTTTTCAACCCTAATGATGAGACCTGGAGTGTTTTTTTAAAATCTCCTTTTATCCTAGGAGAGGCCATTCCCTAAGCAGAAATTACTTAGGTATCTATTGTGTCCAGAAGAAAATTCATGTTCTTGATTAGCATTTCCTGACACCCAAATTGAGTTGTAAGGATCTTAATTTCCCTCTTCAATTTTCATGAGGTAGAATTTTCCTGAGGAATGAAGGACTTACTGGTAGCTTTGGGAAAAACATGGACCCGTCAGAGGTCCTTGGTTCTGGATTCATGGCTATTAATAGTTAGCTTTGTGAGTTTGGACAAAACAAAACATAACCTTGTATAACTTTCCCTATATGTAAAGCAAGACTTTTTAAAACTTCCAGATTTGCAATCGTATAGATCTGAAGGAATTCTGTTCTGATCAATATCTGAGAGTCACAAAGATGTTCTGAAAAGAATGGATTTAGATTTGTCTTTGAATGGCATGTTTTATTGGTCACTAGCTTCGTTTTATATTTTCTCATTTATATGATTTGTAAATTTGCAAAGAGTTATAGCATTTGCTTTGTATTCTTTAATCCCTTGAAATAGGCTATATTTGGGCATTAATTAGATTCATCAGGGAATTTTTAAATATGGAAAGTCACTGTGATTATATCTTAAGCCATCTATAGCTCTCACTTTTGATTTGCTAATATGCTTCCTACTATATTCATGTGTTATATTCAATCACAGTTGTATCCTATCCAAGAATAAGAACATATACAAAAACAGAATAATATGGTGATGGAATAAGCCTTGGTTTCAAATTAGCAAGGCCCATGTTCAAAGCCCAATTCTGCTAGTTTATAGCTACATAAACTTTGTTAATTACTTCTCATTTTCTTGCTTGTATATTTGCCTCAAGATGAGTGTTTTGTTAACTTGGATTTTATCCCTGACCATTGTCAGATCAGACGTATTTTCCCTGGTATTTTACTTGCATCTTTGAAATTATTGTATGTATAATATACTAGGTCAATATACTAGGTCAATCGCACCACATATGAAAGGAACTCTGTATTCCAGACAATTTAGGTATGAAGACATGGAGAGAAGAAAGTAAAGAAGGGAGAAAGGAAATTTTAATTTTATTTTATGATATTCATTCTCCTTGCATTGATGACAGCATTCAGATAATTACTATGATTGTGGTTTATACACTCTTCAGAACTTATTATCTATTAATATTGTGTTATTTATGTCTCCACTGTTAGAACTTAATGAGAGCATAATTTATGCCACATAGTACATGGTAAGATGTTTGATGAATGAATGCAGTTCTTTGTTATAATAAAGAAGAAAATAAACTTAATTTTGTTGAATATTTTGTTTCCTAGTTGTTACAAGAAATAGCCCTCAGAAGTAAACCTATAACTGAACCATATCAAGGACTTGAGAAATTCTTTACTTTTGATAAAAATGAAAAACTCAACTTAATTCCTTCTTATAGTTTAGAATGCAACCATTCCAGTACTAGGATTACACTTGCAGGTAAATTTGGACATGAAATCAGATGACGTATGGACCAACCTAACAAATCTCTAACACACTTTTTAAAAACAGTCTCTTGTCATTGATGGAAATACTGGACAATTCTATGCAATGAATAAAATAACTTCCTTTTTGTCTCCCTAAAATAATTAGCTCAGTGTGAGTTACTGTATGTTTACACCTAATGCTGCTATCAAAATTTGGGGAAAAAAAAATGACTATCATGAAATTGGGGAAAGATTCTTTTCAGAGTTTAGAGTGTGGCCTTCACTATATTATAAAATAATGTAAACCCTCTGAATTACTTCATCAGCTAAGTATTATAGGAAGATCCTTAAATTTAATCTTAAAAACAAGTCTTAAAATCTTAGGATCTGTGAAATTACTGAGACATAGCTATAATTTCCTTTTTTCTTTAATCTTCTGTATCTCGGTAAAATACACATCACTTAAAATTTAGCATCTTAATCATCTTTTAGCTTACAGATCATTGGTTCTAAATGCATTCATAATGTTTTACAACCTTCATCAGCATCCATCTCCAGAACCCTTTTCTTCTTGTAAAGCTGAAACTCTACACTCATTAAACAATAACTCCCCATCTTCTCCTTCCCTCAATCCTTGACAATCATCCTTCTACTGTTTTTATTGTTTTGATTATTCTTTTATTGTTTTGATTATTATCCTTCATTCACATAAGTGGAATCATGCAGTATTTTTTTTTTAATGTGTGTGTGATTGGCTTATTTCACCTTGCATAACATCCTCTAGTTTCATGCATGTTGTTGCATGTATCTGAGTTTTCTTTCTTTAAAAAAATAAAATAAAATATACAAAAGTGAGGATAGAAGGTCTGAATTAAGCTCTCTCATTCCAGCTTTTTTATTAATTCCTCCAAACTTCCAAGACTCTATGGGACATAGTTTGAAAGCCACTTTTTAGAGAAAAAGACTTTTAAAAATTCTGTTTTATGGCTGGATAATATCCCATTGTATAGTTTACCACTTTTTTTTACCCATTCATCCATCAGTGTACTTTGTGCTGCTCCTGCCTTCCACTGTGGTAAGTAATGATGCTGTGAACATGTATGTGTACAGGTATCTCCTTAAGATACTGCTCTCATTTCTTTGGGGGATATACCCAAAAGTAGAATGGCTGGATCATATGGTAATTTGATTTTTAGATTTTTGAGGAGTTACTATACTATTTGCCACAGTGGCTGTACTATTTTAATTATGTAGAAAATAAGCTTAATGTTGTTGATTTTATTGATTCTTAGTTATTTACATTTCCATCAACAGTGTTCAAGAGTTCTAATTGTTCCATATCCTTGACAACTAGTATTATTTTTGGTTTTATGGATGATAGTAATCTTCCTGAGTCTTAGGTGGTGTGTCTTTGTAGTTACTTGTAGTTTAGATTTACATTTCCCAAATGATTCATGATACTAAGCATCTTTCCACATGCATATTAGTCATTTGGATGGCATCTATGAGGTGATATCTATTCAAATCCCTTGCTCATTTTTTTGGTCAGGTTGGGTGTTTTTTGTTTTGTTTTTTTGAGTAATTCTTTTTTGAATTCTGGATAGTAATATTATTTGCAAGTTATTTTCTCTATCATTCTGTGACTTGCTTTTTTTTTGAGGAGGTGGGGAGTACTGGGGATTGAATTCAGGGTGCTAATCCACTGAGCTACATCCCCAATCTTTTTAGTTTTTATTTTGAGACAGGGTCTCACCAAGTTCCATAGGGCCTTGCTAAGTTGCTGAGGGTAGCTTCAAACTTGTCCACTCCTACCTCAGTCTCCTGAGTTCCTAGGACTATGGATATGCTTCATCATGCCCAGCTGGTAGTATTTTTTGGTGAAGAATTTTTTTTTCTTAATGTTATTTTTGTCTATTTTTTTTCTTTTGTTTCATGTGCCTTTTATACCAAGTCCAAGAAATCATTTCCAGATCCAATATTTTGAAACTTTGGTCCTTGTTTTCTCCTAAGAGTTCTATAGTTTTATTTCTTAGATTTATATCTTCATCCATTTTTAGTTAATTTTCATAGTTGATATTAGATAAAAGTCCACATTCACTCATTTGCATATGGATTTAAGGTTTTTTAGCACCTTTTGTTGAATAGACTGTTTTTTTCTCCATTTAATGATCTAAACATTGGTGTCAAAAATTATTTGACTAAAAGAATAGATTTTAAGTGTTTTTACCAGACATAAAAGTACAGGTTGTGTTAGGGATGTTAGCTGCTTAATGATGAAGTGCTTGCCTGGCATGTTTGAGACCCTGGTTTCAATTCCCAGTTTAGGAAAAAAAAGGTATGTATTGTGAAGTAAGGCATATGTTAATTAGCTTAATTTTATCTATTTCACAATTTATTCAACTTCAAAGAATCATATTGTATACCCTAAATGTATTCAATTTTTGTCAACTAACAACAATAATTTTGCCATGAGGGTTTACTTCTGGGTTCTATATTCTCTTCCATTGGTCAGTACAACACTGTTTTGATTACTGTGTCATTATAGTACATTATAAGATCAGGAGGTATCTTTCAGCTTTGTTCTTGTGTTTCAAGATTGTTTTGACTATTCAGGGTCATTTGTGATTCTATATGAATTGTAGGATGGGTTTTTCTACTTCTGCAAAAAATATCATTGAGCTTTTGGTAGGGATTGCATTTAGTCTATAAATTGCTTTTGGTACTTTTGACATCTTAGCACTACTAGGTCATGTCCATGACTATGTATTTATGTTTTCTTTTATTTTTTTCATCAATGTTTTCATTTTTCATTGTGTAAAGGTTTTATCTCCTTGGTTGACTCCTAGATATTTTATTACTTGTTATGGTAGTATAAACAAAATTATTTTCTTAATTTCTATTTTAGGGTGTTCATTGCTAGTATAAAGAAACGTAGTTGACTTTTGCCTGTTGACTTTTTAGCCTATTTTGCTGAGTTCCTTTATTATCTCTATTTAAATTTGTGTGTATGTGCGTGTGTGTGTGTGTGGAAATTCTAGGGTTTTCTAACAAATAAGATCGTATTTTTGAACAGAGATGATTTTATGTCTTCGTTTCTGATGTGGGTGCAACCCCCCCCAGCCTTTTTCTTTTTTTTTGCCTAATTTCACAGGATATATTTTACTATATTGAATAGAAGTGTTGAAAGCCAGCTGTCCTTTACTTGTTCCAGAGCTTGAAAAAAAAAAAAAAAGCTTTCAGTATTTCACTATTACACATCATGCTTTCTTTGGGTTTTCATATGGAATGGATTATGTGGTGGTAATCTCTAACTCTTGCTATTTTGCTGAGAGCTTTTATTGAAAGATGGTATTGAATTTTGTGAAGTATATTTTACACATCAATTATTCAGTTAAGGTTTGGTGTATTACACTGATCAATGTGATCGATGTTCATATGTTAAACATTCCTTATATCCTAGGAACAAATCCTGGTCGTGTAGTATATTCCTTTTAGTGTGCTGCTGAGTTTTGTTTGCTAGTATTTTGTGGACGATTTCTTTCATCACTGCTTGTAAGAGATATTGGTCTAAATCTTTCTTTTCTTGTAGTGTCTTTGTGTGGCTTTGGTGTCAGGGTAATGCTGGCATTATAGATCTTTGAAAACATTTAAGAAGGATTGTCATTTGTTCTTCTTTAAATGTTTGTCTGACCTCACCATAAAGCCATTAGGTCTGGGATTTTTTCGTGTGTGAGAAACTTTTTTTTTTTTTAATTACTGACTCAATATGCATGTATATATTCAAATTTATCATTTCTTTCTTTCTTTTTTTTGGTACTAGGGATTGAACTCAGGGCCTCACACATGAGTGCTCTGCCACTAAGCTACACACTCAGCCATTTTTTATTTTTTATGTTTTTTCCAGCCATTTTTAAAAAATATATTTATTTGGTTGTAAATGAACACACAGTACACAGTATCTTTATTTATTTTTATGTGGTGCTAAGGATTGAATCTAGTGTCTCACACATGCAAGGCAAGCACTTTACCACTGAGCTACAGCCTCAGCCCACACACCCAGCCTTTTTTAATTTTTTATTTTGAGATATGGTCTTGCTAAATTGCCCAGGCTTGTCTCAAATTGTGCAATTCTCCTGCCTCAGCTTCCTGAGTTTCTGGAATTACAGATGTCTATCATCAGGCCTTACTTCTTGATTTTGTAATTTTGTTTATAAAGCTGGATCTTGGTGTTTTTTATATTATTTCGTTTTCTATGTGTTTAAACATGTGTATTCATGTGTAAAGTATTATACCTTATGTTGTATTTTTTATCTTTCAAAAAATATTTATTTCTCTTCAATATGCATGATTATATTTGCAATTTTAGTTTACTTTTTCTTTTTAATCAAGATTTATGAATTTAATGGTTTTTATGAGATTCTTTATTTCATAATACATCTTTTTAAATATGTATTCCTTAATTCAGATGAATATCGTTCAGTAAGATAATATAATAAACCAATCACATTGATTTGCCTAATTCTATACTTTATATTATTTCAACCATTTTTCCATTTCAGGAGATAGAGAATGGATCCCAGAAAGTAGCTTAAGTGTACATGCTAATAATGCAGTTGCCTGTGGTCTTGTGCAGAGTTTCCAGTCTCTTTCATCAAGTGTATACAAGCAAAAAAAGGGTAAGGCTGGATACAAGGTAGCGATACCATCTTTGTGGGTCATTTTATTTTATTTTTTTTTAATTTTTATTTTTTTTAAAGAGGGGGAGGGAGAGAGAGAGAGAGAGAGAGAGAGAGAGAGAGAGAGAGAGAGAGTTAGTTTTTTAATATTTATTTTTCAGTTCTCGGCGGACACAAAATCTTTGTTTGTATGTGGTGCTAAGGATCGAACCCGGGCAGCGCGCATGCCAGGCGATTGCGCTACCACTTGAGCCACATCCCCAGCCCTGTGGGTCATTTTATTTAGTATTTTTTTCCTCAGCAGTTTACTAGGCACCTGAATATTAGATTTTGCAATTATAATTATTTTAACTAAATTTCCTAGAATTTTTCTTCCAAAAAAACCAAACCAGACCAAACCAAACCAAACTAAAACATTGAGTAAGTAAGTATACGTATTATTTCTCTCAAAATCATGAATTCTAGTCTTAGCTGTTTTCTGCAACAATGTGTTAGATAACACTATTTGCAACTTGCAGCTTAAGATAGTCTATCCTGAGTGATCCGTATAAAATACACACTGAATTTCATAATGCACTCAGGAAGCAGTATATTCATACCTTCTTGTACTCTTGATTGGATTTAGCCATATGTAAAACAAATGTCCTAGATTAAGATTATTCCTTAGAACTGGTTTTGCAAGTTGTTTGGTTCTAATAATTGCTGTATGTGTTATCCATGGGATTTTGATTTCAAAATGATTTCATGGTTTTTACATAAGATAATTTTGACATATCGAATGATCATTGTAATATTTTCCTAATGTGTGCATCACTAGCATTATTATGTCATTTCTGTTATTCATTTACACCTGCTTAAAGTATGTTTGCTTTACTCTGTACTTGGCATAAAGTTGCAGTAGATAACTCATGAATTAAGGCAATTCAATGCACTGGTGTTGAGTATGTGAACACTATGCTAGGTCCTGGGAATTAAGGGATACCTAAGTCCTCCTGATAGACCTTAGGGAGCTTACAATTGAGGAGGAATCCTTGACACAGTGAGCTAATTGCCTTGGTTTAAAGACTCTCTTAAAACCTGATATTTAATTACATATGATTTGTTCACGTATATAAGATTTATATGGCTCTCTTGCCCGAAACCCTATGATTAAATCTCTTGGCTAGCTGAGATTCCTTCAATATGCATTTATGTTGAGAATCTGTCAGTTATAAATGTTTTTTAGAAGAAAAACCATCCAGTTATGATAAAAAAAATTTTGGCTCTATAATTAGGTACCTATTCTCACATCAAATTCCAGAGAAGCTTCAAAAATTCTGGTAACTTCTATCTGAGGCAATCAGAAGGAACTGTTTTAAGTCACTATATTGATAAAAATAAATTCATAATGCATGCTATGAAAAATTTGTTACTAAGACAAATTTTTAATAAATAGCCAAATACTTTTAAGTATTTAAAAGTATTTAAGTATCAATTTGGGCAGATCAGTGTGTGTCAATAATTTGCTATGAAAATCCTGGTGATACCCTTGTCTCTATGGCCTGAGATTCTCCAACCTCAAAGTGAGCATAATCAACTGGGAAACAGATGTAATGCTGATTTCTATATCTCACTCTTAGTGATTCTGATTCATTTAGGCTGAGGTAAGGCCCTCAAATTTGAATTTATCAACAATTAATTGTAATGCTGATATAGATACTTCAAAATTTATATTTTGAGAAACAGTTGTATAAATATGTAAATGCATAAGTGATAAACTTATAAAAAGTATGAATGATGTAATTTTTGGAAATTGATAGGTAATTAATGATAGCACATACTGTCAGTAATAATATATATTTGCATTTTATTTAGGAATAGAGATGATGAATAATGACTGTCACTGAAAATATAGATATGCAAGATGTTAGAGAGTATGTGACATTTTAGTTAAGTCTTTAAAAAGTAATAACATTTATCAGTGAGGGGAGTTGCAAAATGCCTTTCTGGACAGAGATAGTAGCCTGAAATAAAATAAAATGTTCCGGAAATATTGCAAGTTATAGAAATCTTATATTCTGAACTGATGCCAGCATAGAAAGGGATTCCAATTTTTCTAAGATTTTAAAATTTGTGACTATATATACATTGTAATACTTATGTGATTAGCAACAAGTACAATGATACTCTCCACCCCCTGCTAAAAGTTACTCCTCTTCCACCCCATCTTCCTGTCTCTGTATATAGCAAGGGCACCCAAACCTTGATCAGGCCTGAAACCTAGGAGTCACCTTGAGTGGCTGCAGCTTATTCATAGGCAAATACCGCTGATTTCAGCTCCAAAAGCCAGCACAAACCTAAACACTTCCATCTTCACTGCTCAAGATAAGCCCAAGCCAGTTGCCTGTCATCTCTCATTTGTCTCCCAATTTCATTTTTACCCCTCCCCAAACCATCTTACTATGATTTCTTCTCATCAAATTCTACTGTTTGTAGTCAGTGAGTAAATTGTTTATCCTTACAGTCATAAAATTATTTATATTTATAGTTTGTAGGAAGTGAAACATACTTTCAATAAATTTAAAACTTAAATAGCATCGCATGATTTTTCCTGCCTAAAAGTATTCCAAAACTTCCCAAGAAAGGTAGAAAAAAATTATATTCATTCTACGCATCACACAGCAATATATGAGTTGGTTACCCTTCTCTCCTAACTGCATATTTTCTACCCTGTAGCCAAGTGGATCCTCTCTGTTCTTAGGTAGGTCATGCCTTTCTTAGTATATTCTAAAATATGCTTGTCCAGGATGCTCTGCTGCAACCTTTCACTCCATCCTTGGACCTTTCGTCATATGACTGGTTCTTTCACCAGTCTTAGTCCCGATTTTACCTCCTTAGATAGGGCTTTCAGTATGCTATTTAACTCTAGTCTCTTGAGTCCTTCTATTCTTTCTCATAGAACATATCACAGACATTATCTTATTTGTAGGGTTTTCTGCTATCCCCACCTTGCTTAGAAAAAAAGCAAGGACTAGCTAGTCTTCTTGTTAGTGTGCCTTCAATGTAGAATGGGGGCTAGAACCTTGTAAGTCTTCAGTGTGTATTTCTGAAAGAGGGAAATAGGATAGAAAGCTTGAGTATTCATTTGGAATGAAATTTGAGGGTAGGGGTAATGTCTCATTCACTTTGAATACCCTGAATTAATTAACTCAAAGAATTAATTAACGATTTTATAATTGACTCAGGCTGAGCATTAATTCACAAGTTCTCAGAGTTTAAGGAGATTTAAGACATTATACTGTTTTATTCCTTAATTTTATAGGTGTGATATGGATTACTATCTGTGTCTAGGTCATAAGCTGATTTCTAATTCAGTGAGATGTGACAATGATGTTCTTAGCTCCTTAGCTTAGCATTTTTTTTCAACTAAGCCAATACTACTCAATAAAATTTCCTTATATTTTCTAGAACTCTTAGAAATTGAATTTCTGTTTGTTTGTTTGTTTTTTAATGTATGAACGCTCAGCAGTTTACATAATGGAACAAGAATGTCAATGGACAATGTTTTGCCAACTTTATTCAGGCTTAAAATAATGTGTCCTTTGACATATTTAGTAACATATTTTGGTAGCATATTTAGTAACATATAATTATTTGTTACTAAAATGCTACCCCAAAAGCCTGTTGATATGTGTTTTATCAAGTTCTAATGTTATATTTAGAATTGCAATAATAGAGTGCCGTATTAAATACTATTCAAGGAGTGATTCCTATTTTATATCTATCTGTATTTTTATGCCCATTAACTAATACCACTGTATTTCATCTCATCAATATTCAGCATAGTTTAATTGGTAATCATGGGACATATATTCTTTAGCTAACACCGAGAAAAATTAATTTTGTTTTATTTGTGGTTAGCTGAGATTGGCATGAATCATTTTTTAGATTATATTGCCCATGATGGCACAAGTTTCTCTAAAAGTAGTTTCTTATGTTTGTAATCTACAAAGTAGGCTATTTTTTATTATGGAATGATTGCCTCAACAGTGGCATTTTTCATTAATGCCAGTCAATGTGTCAATCCTTAACCATAGCAATAATATTAATAAGCTTGCAAATTAAATACTAGAAAGAATGACATGTTTTCCTAAATGAACAATAAGTAAACAAAATCAACAACCAAATTGGGATTCCTTCTATCTCATCCTGTGATTTGGTTACTTTAAATTACCCTTGAACATATTTCCAGTAAGAAATATGGTCTGTCTATTTGCTGTGTGTTAAGCATAAGTCTGACCCATCCCCTGTGTACCTTTTCTCTCTTTTGGGAACAATTAGCTTCAAATACTGTGGCAACCAGATGTTGTTGTAAGAATTCAGCAAGTGTTGTGCTCTCCTGAGTTTTCTGAAGGGCATCTACATTATTTTAAATTATTCTAACTTCATATTTTTCTGAGATGGAAGAAGTCCAGTTCTTACTAATAGTATCATCTTTTTGTTTGTTTTATTTTAATAAGAGTACTAAATTTCTTCAAGTTTTACCTTGACTGAGAAATATTATAATACAGAAGAAGAGTGTGGTTTACCCATACTCCCAGGTCCTCTGAGTTCTGTATAAATTTCCTCTGGTACCCACTGGCTTCCATATAAGAGCGACAAGCTTGCATGATGGCTGTGAATGAAATATCCATTCTTTGCAATATAGCACATAAAAGAGAAAACCACTTCTAAATTCAAGTCATTAAAATAATTCTTTAGAATATTTATATACATACATATATTTTAAACATATACGCACATTTTTTATTAGTTATTTTTCTTCAGAATTGTTTCTGAGCACAAACACACACAAAAGGGCCAGAATCTTATTTTAATTTATTCCTAATTTTATTCCCACAAAAAATATTTTAAAAATTAATTTCTTCAATGTTCATTAAAATTGGTGCCCTTTGGAACTTAACCTCACTCAGCTTTAATTGCTTAAACAATTACATACTGCAACCAAATGCTTCTTAAGGTTAGCTACATTCAAAGTAAGTTTTTCCAGCTAAGGAAAAAGAAGATGAACTCAATAGTCATTAAATGTTTTATATAGGATGACTGAATGTAGCCACTTTTTTGAATTTTGCATTTTCCTTTGAATCAACAAGAGTGGGCGTAATGTTACATAGCATATGTTCAGTCAAATCATGTTTTTCATGAGAATGACAATTGCACTTCTTTAAAAAATCTAATATTTTACACAAAGCCAGTTTGTGTTAAGAGAATGCAAAATGATTACCATAAATATGTTAATAAATAAATGTATTTATGTTTACTATGAATATATTTCTAAATCAGAAAAATAATTTAGTACATTTAAAAATTTACCGATGCTGTGAATTTTTTAAATCTGTTCTTGAAAATTCCCTTGGCCTTTATTAAAGAGTATTTTGTGAGAAATACAAAATTACAAATTAGTTATGTTGCATAGGATTTGAAAGGATTCTTTTCCCTACTATTAAAAACAAAAGCAAAACGACATCAACAAAAAATGCTTAGTGTTGAAGTATCCAACTAAACCAAACTTTTAAACAGATAAAAGAGTGGCCATCTTAGTTGAATAAAGTAATAACCTGACTTAGGTCTGTGCTTCTGGAATTTGTATACTAAAGTACCCTATAAGGCAATGGAAAGTGAACTGTCAGAATACAGAGAAAAAAGCACATCAGAGATACAGGTCAGACTTAGTACACAGCAAACAGATCAGACTTCTTATAGGAAAATTATAGATGTGATCTCACTTAGTTTAAAAACTGTGTTTTTCTAAAATTTCACACAGATTTTGTATATTAGACTGTTTATTCTCCATATTTTTAAATAAAAGAATAGATTACACACTGTCAATACAATTGATTCACTAGGAAGTGGCCTCATGTTCATCGTAGAGGTTGTTTTCTCTTGTGAGATACATACTTGAATTTGGGATGGACTAGAAGATTGTGTGTTGTGCTGGTCTGAAGTTGACTTGTTTTATAGATATTTTGCTTTAGTGATAGTGAAATCAATTTGCTTCTAAATATTAAAAAATAGGGAAAATACTCAGAAGGTTTTTTTTTTTTTTTTGGTCTTTGTGACAGGGGATGAAAATCAACAGTCAGTTTTCGCATAATATTTGAAATCCATTTTTTGTTTGTTCATTTTGTTTTGGTCTTGGGTTTGAGCCCAGGGTCTTGCCTCATGCCAGGTAAGTGTTCTACCATTGAGCTATATCCTGAGCCTGATTTTCTCATAAAATTTGTTGCATTATATTCACTGCTCTGTCTTCAGGAAGCTGGTATTTTATATTGCAAAATACTCAAAATTTTAAAAACAGTTGATTGGATTCTTTTTCTTTTTGTTTTAGGCCAGAAGTCACAGAGACCTTCAACAGCAAATTTACCACTTTCCAACTCTGTTAAAAACAGCTCCAACTGCCTTTCATCCTCTCAGCCTCGACCAAGAAGTGCAGCTGTTCGATCATTATCTAGAGCTGCTTCGGAAATTTTAGAAATTGAATATATTGATATTACTGGCCAGAATGAACCTTTCTTAGATAACACAGCTGATCAACAAACTTTAGAGAGTTTGGAAAAAGAATTAGATGTGCTGAGAAATCATGCAGGTAATGCTTTTTTTTTTTTTTCTTCACTCTAGATAATGTTAACTTTGTCCTCTGTTACGTTCTTCACCTTATTCTTAAAAACAAGCAAGCAAAACAGGTCTTTCCTTTCTTTCTTCAGCTATCAACTTTGGATACATCTTGCCAACACCCTGAAAAAGTTCTAAAATGCATTGCTGCCCAGTCACAACGGAGATGGTCCCCTAGCAAACCAAGTGCACAGCCAAATTGTGGCATAAGGATCTCTGTGTATTCAGAAAAATCAAAACCAATACTAGACATATTTCTCTTTCTACAAACCCAGTGAAGGTTTAATCACTCTAGCTTTAAGTAAAACTGTTGTCCAATACCCTTGTTGAAAATTGAGCCTGTTAGAACTTTTAAAGCAGTGCTTCTGTAGCTTTAAAGTATTCATAGATGCCCCAGGGGATCTTGTTAAAATGCAGATTCTGATTGAGTCCTCATTTCTGGGATGGGACCTGAGATTTTTCACATCTAACAAGTACCCAGATGATGCCAATTTTGCTCTTTAGCAAACCACAATTTGAGGAGAAATTTTACTTGTGCTCTCTGTTTGCAACCTCAATGGGGATAGTCTTGCCAATGGTGACCACATTCTTGAATGTGCAAAGGTCTGGTTGAATAACAAAATATCAAAATATCCTCTTATTTTCATCAGAAGGTCATTCACACAATTTGAAGGAAGTCAACCGCAGGTCCAAAAGGTAGGCTAAAATATTCTGTGGTCCTGTGTGTTCTACATTTGCTCTTCTCTTTGTTTCTGTTTTTGTTTTATCCTATTTAATGATCTCTTTCCTTACTTACCTTTGAAAAACAACCTTGCTGTTTTTCTGAAAAAGATATATCAGCATTTGAAAACTGTAAGCAATAAAAAATACAAAAAGAAAGCTAAAACACCCAAAAAACTCAAATTGATAGGATTTACTGTCATAATATTTCCTTACATGCATATATCACCCATCGATTGTACCCATTGATTGAACCCCATCTGAGGTTCCTCTATCCTCCCTATACTCCTATTTTACCATCTTTCCTGACTTCCTTAGCCCTCTTCCCAGTACCTTGTAGTACCTCTTCTGCTTTTAGGACTTTTTGTTTATTTGTTTCTGTGTATGAAAGAAAACATGCAATAATTGTCTTTCAGTGTCTGGCTTCTTTTGCTTAACATGCTATTTTTCCTCTTCCACTTAAATGTCCAGATATCATTCTTCATATGATGGAGTAATTCCTAGGTGCTGTTGTGAATGGTGCTATAATAAACATGGTTGTTCGGGAATTTTTGTTTGTGCTAATTTCATTTTTTCTTTGGATATCTATCCAGAAATGGAATAGCTGGATCATATTTGGTAGCTCTGTTTTTAGTTTTTTGAGAAACCTTCATATGTTTTTAGCAATGGCTGTACTGAATTACAATCCCAACAGTGTGTATAAGCATTCTTTTTCCTCACATCCTGGCCAGTATTTGTTATTTGTTACTTTTTTATATAATAATCATTTTAACTGGGGTAAGATAGAATCTCATTGTAGTTCCATTTGCATTTCCCTGATGGCTAAAGATATTGAGTCATCCTTTCATGTATTTGTCATTGGTATCTCTTCTTTTGAGATGTGTCTATATCATTTGAGATTGTCTTGTTTTTTTTATTTTGATATTAAGTATTTTGAGTTCTTAATATATTATAGATATTAATCTTCTGCCAGACAAATAACTGGCAAATATTTACTCATAATCTGTAGGTTGTCTCTTCAATCTGTGGATTATTTCCTTTGCTATACAGTAGTTTTAAAATTTGATGTAATACCATTTGTCATCCTTTGCCTTTGTTTACTGTGCTTTTGGAGTTCTAGCCAGGAAACAATAGCCTGAACCAGTATCTAGAAATTTATTCCTTAGTATGTTCCTCTAGAAGTTTCAGAACTCAGATCTTACAGAACTACCTTTGATCCATTTTGACTGATCTTTGTACAGGGTGAGAGATTGACCCCATAGGTCAATTTTCAATCTTCTATATGTGGGTATCAGTTTTCCCCATACCATTGGTTGGAGATCCTTTTTCTATTATATGTTTTTAGTAGCTTTGTCAAGATTAAGTTAGTTGGTTGTGGATATGTGAGTTTATTTCTGAGTTCTCTACTGAGTTCCATTGGTCCATGTATCTGCTTTTTATGCCAGTATCATGTTGTTTTTGTTACTGTGGATTGTGAAATCAGGTGTTGTGATACTTCCAGCATTGCAATTTTTGCTAAAGATTATTTTGGCTATTCATTTATTTCTACTTCTGTATGAACTTACGATTGTGTTTTTCTAGTTCTGCAAAAAATGCCTTTGGAATTTTGATAGGGATTGCATTGAATCTGTAGAGCACTTTGGGTAGTGTGGATGTTTTAACAGTATTAATTCTCTCAACCCATGAACATGGGAGGTTTTCAGTCTTTTAATATCTTCTTCAATTTCTTCAGTATTTTAAAAATTTTCATTGTAGAGGTCTTTCACATCCTCAGGTTTATTCTGAAGTGTGTGTGTGTGTGTGTGTGTATGTGTATGTGTGTGTATTTTGCAGAGATTGAACCCCCAGGAGTACTCTAGTATTGAGCTACACCATTAGCACTTTTTATTTTTTATTTTGAGACCAGGTCTTACTACGTTGCTGAGACTAGCCTCCAGTTAGATAATGTTAATAATAGATAATGTTAGCCTTATGAATCACTAGGATTATAGGTGTGCCCCACTATGCCTGGCTTATTTATTTATTTGTGGTTATTTTGAATATGATTGTTTTCCTGATTTCTTTCTCAGTGAGTTCATTATTGGTATATAGGCAAGATATTGGTTGTGTATGTTGCTATTGTATCCTGATAGTTTACCAATTTGTTTCTCATTTCTGAGAGTATTGGTGTAGAGTATTTAGGTTTTCCTAAAACCTAATATAAAGTCACATTATCTCAAACAGGGATAATTTAACTTCCTCTGTATGTATGCCTTCTTTTCTTTCTTTTAAGTGATTATTTTGGCTAAAATTTCTAGTACTCTATTGAATAAGAGTGCTGAAAATGGACACCATTATCTCATTCCTGGTTTTAGTGGAAATGGTTTCAGTTTTTCCCTGTTGAGTATGATCATGCATAGCATTTATTATGCAGAGGTATTTTCCTTCTATAGCTAATTCATTCAGGACTTTTATCATGAAGAAATGTTGAATTTTATCAAATGCTTTTTCTGTATCTATTGGGAAAATGAGGTGATATATATCATTAATTCAATTCATGTGCTGCATTAAGTTTATTGATTTGCATTAAACCATCCTTGTAGCCCTGGAATAAAAAACAATTGATCATGGTGTATGGTCTTTTTAATGTGCTATGAATTCAACTTACAAATATTTTGTTGATGATTTTTGCATTTATGTTTATTAGAAATATCATTTTACAATTAATTCCTTTTAAAAAAAATTCCTTTCCCTTCCTTTCTTCCTTTCTTTTGTTGGCCTTGTCAGGTTTGAGTCACACTTTTATAACATTGAATTTGGTTTCTTACCTTCCTATTTAATGTAGTAGTTTGAGGGGCATTGATATTTGTTCTTTATTTAAAAGTTTGGTAATATTCAGCAAAGAAGAAATTCAATCTTGTTTGGGGGACTTTTTATTACTGATTCTATCTCATTACTTGTTAGTGGTCTATTTATTTAGCCTTTTAAAATATTCTTTTCACTCAATTTTGGTGGGTTATGTATGTCCAGAAATTTGTCTATTTTTTTTATTTTACAATTTATTACTATATAGTTTTTCAAAATATTCCTTGTTGATCCTTTGAATTTCAGTGATATCCATAGTAATGTCTCATTTTTTCACCTCTAATTTTATTTATTTGGCTATTTTTTTCTTTCTTTTTGTTTGTTTAGCTAAAAGTTTATAAATTTTATCTTTTCAAAGATTTAACTCAGTTTCATTTTTATTGTTCTCTTAGTCTCCATTTCATTTATTTGTGCTCTGATTTTTATGATTTTTTTCTTCTACTGATATGGGGGTTTTGTTTTTCTTATTTTTCAAAAAACCTTGATTTGGTTATGTACTCAAAATATTTTTTTTTATGTAAACACTCATTGTCATAAACTTTCCACTTGGTGCAGCTGCTTATATGGTGCAGCTGCTTATATTGTATCCCACAGATATTTGTATGTTGTGTTTCCATTGTCAGTTCATTCAAAGAATTTTTAAATTTCCCTTCTGACTTCCTCAGTGACCCATTGTTCAAAAGTGTGTTGAACAATTTTAATATGTTTTTGTATAATTTCTACAGTTACTGTTGCTCTTGATTTCTACTTTAATTTCATTGTGATCAGAGAAAACACAGAATATTTTTCAATATTTTTGGAGGTTGTTAAAACTTGCTTTGTCCCTTAATATATGGCCTATTCTAGAAAAGTTTCTGTGTTCCTATGAAAAGAATATGTATTCTCTAGCCATTGAGTGATGTATTCTGTAAATGTCTGTTAAGTCCATTTTATTTATAGTATAATTAATTCTTGTTACTTTGTTGATTTTTGTTTGGATGATCTATCCATTGCTCATAGAAAGTTATTGAATTCACCCGTTATTATTGTATTGAGACCTATTTTTTCTTTTAATGTCTTGATAGCATTTATAATTTACAAAATGTGGTGCTCCAAACTTTGGCATAAATAAATTTATAATTATTATATCTTCTTGATTAATTAATCCCTTGATCAATTGCATTTATGTTTACCAGAAATATCATTTTAAAATTCATTTTTATTATTCATTTTTATTAATTTATTAATTATTTTTTATTAATTTATTTTAGTTATTTATGGTTTATATAGTTATATATATTATATATTATATATGTATATATATATATATGTATATATATACACACATACATACATATATATTATATATAGTCATTTGGACATAATAAGAAAAACATGATATATAGTTTGCTCTAGTTTAGTCCCTAGTAC